GTCACACCAATTCACCACATGGGTACACCACGTAGAGCCGATTTTGACCCCCTCTCCGTAATATTGCTTGGATTTTGTAATAGTAAATGGTAATTTTTAGCGGTATTCATCATAATAGAATGGAGATGTAATTCTGTGGATGGTCGACCATGAGTTGCCAAGCGCTTAACATTTTAATGCATTTTAATAATAATGATGATTGTGAAAAATTATGAACAATATGTATAAAGTACCACACGAGCAAAAACGTATTCACTGAGGGTCAAAGGAAAGTATACCGAGTTTGTTTTGTATGTAATGGAAACTTATTGAAAGAAATGGTGTTACATTTGATTGCCTATTTAACCACCACTCATTCCTGCAACAGTTTGTGAAAAGTAACCTGTGGATAAATAATTTTGTGTAAAAATATATTGGTTCGATGAAGACTAGGCTAGGAAATGAACTTGCAACCACATGACCCCTAACATGTTTGAAATTTTATTAATTTATGCCGAAAAGAGCAAATTTATTGATTTTCAAGATAAGATATCAAAGATACCCATCAACGAAATTCATATAGTCGGTCCCTCGGATCCGGACTGAGCTCCAGATAACTTTTTGAGCAATTGAGTTTTTTACTCTAGGGTTTCTATTTTAAATGGGTTAAAAGATATTTCATTGGGTAACCAAAATATTTTCACTCATCTATTCATCACTCTATTCATCACTCTATTGGGTTTTCCCCCAAATAAGTGAATATTTTAAGATTTAAAAAATGAAATAATGTGTTAGATGTATATAACTGTTCTAAATATATAGGCTTGGCTCGGAAAGTAAATTAGTTCTTAATTGTGTTTCGGAAATTAGCTCCTGTAAATTTGTACGCATGCTGAAAAAGCTTGATTTGGGTATTTACGCGAGCTGTTTTTATACATTTGAGTTTTTCATTTAAAATAATTGGGTTTTGAATATTTTTGGGGGTATTTTATGCAAATACGCTGCTAATAGGATGTATATAATGTGAGCCAATTTTAAAGAGACCAAATTTCTGGGTTCATCACTACATTCCAGTTCAGTTTCAAGTATTCAATGGTTCAGAGGATAATGAGGAGGGGGGGTTCTATGTAATATGCTAGTACCACTTAATCTGAGAATATGTCAACATCAACATAATTTTATTATCTGAACACATTGACAAACGATTAATAAAAAAAATGAAAAAAGGTAACAGGAAAGTGAACAAAAATATAAACTTGACTCGATGCACCGAGGCGAGGTCAACCATCAAGTGTGGATTTATATATGACGTCATATAAGTTTGTAAAGAGGTGAATTTCGAGTCGAACGGGAGCATGAGGATGAAATTATACTTACTGCTGTTGTAAATGAAGTTTATGGAACAGTTAGGGAAAATACCACGACGCATGAACCTACCATGGCACCAACAAATTGGGAATATCACTGATTTATGAATGTTTTGCTTGTGTTTGGATAATCGCAAACCAATTCGGACGATGTGGAATGGACTGGTGGGGATTGAACGGGGTGCTCTGAAACTAGACTGTTTTGTGCAAGGGTGTGTTATATTTGGAGTTTGTGATTTGTCGTGTGTGCTGTAATACTTTACTTGGCTGGTGTTTCTTGTCACCTGAGATGGACCTACTGTATGACCTGATGCCAGCTTCATTTCTGTGCCCCGTCCTCCCTCAATTGCCGCCGCTTCTCGGCCTAGAATGTACGGCGAAGGTCGGCCAGCTCAGAAACCGGAATAGTAATTCCGTCTATGGGTATTTTCTCGTCCCCGATGACCAATCGGTAAAACAGGTAGGCAATTTTAAAAAATTTTTTTTTTTAAATCAAGTTTCTTTCCTTACCTTTTTATGTCATATTTTTTAAAAAGCTAGATAAATTTTAAGGAAGAGAATATATGGATGTCAACTTCTTTATTATGAGGAACACAACGTTTCGGAGTATATGCTTACTCCTTCATAAGGTGACTGAATGCCTTACTAACTTACTTTGGAGATTTAACGTGCGCTTTCCGACTCATGCGTATTTCGCACACGGGCCCGGCCAGGCCATTTAATGTGTTTCCGAAAGGGGCGAAAGTGGTGTGTGCAACCCAAGAGGGGGTTTAGGGGTTGCTTATATAGAGTTTGGGAATTTTGAGATTTGGAATAGATGCCGATGGGGTTGGTAAGTAGAACTAAGGGAGCTGGGTATGGTGGATGTTTGTTTGTTTGTGTGATTTTGATTTGGTAGATGATAGTGTTTTTAGATGCGTTTTATTAGTTCCGTTTTGATTAAGAATACGCCTAAGGCCTTGAAATTTTCTAGTTTATTTTGTGGGTTTAGTATTGCTTCTAGAGTGAGAGCCTTGTTTAGATTGAGGGTGGTTTGTAATGCGGTTCGATGTGTTAGGTAGTGTGTGCAGTGGATGAGTGCGTGTTCTGGGGTTTCTAGTTGTTTGCAGTGTGGGCAGTTACCTGTAGTATGTTTTTTTTTAATTATTTAGGTGGTTATTTAGGTTGGTGTGTCCTGTTTGGAGTTTAGTGATTACTCTGTCGATTCTTTTTGATGGATGGAGAATTTTTGGTTTGGTTAGTGGTTTGCTGAGTACTTTTTTGATTTGGCTATTTGAGTTTAGATATAGGTTATGCCATTTTTTGGTGATTTTTTGCTTGTTTACGCTTTTAATTTCTGAGTTTGAGATGGGTAAGTTTAAGCTTATTTCTGGGATTTTGAGGGATAGTTTGGCTGCCTTATCGGCGTTTTCATTACCGTATATTCCTACGTGGGCGGGTATCCACAAGAAGGTTATTTGGTCGCTGCCTTAGTAAGGTCCTTGGAGCTTTTAAGTATTTGATTTATTAATTTAGGTCGGTTTTTGGTATTTTTGTATTGGAGGGCTTGCAGTCCACTTAGGGAGTCGGTAAGTATTAGGATTTTTGTTTTGTTTTTTTGGATTCTTGATTATGGAGGGCTGAGGCCATGCCCATTAGTTCTGCCGTGAATATTGCTTGGTTGTTTGGGAGTCGGAAGGATTGTGTGGCTTTAGTTGGTTGTGTGGTATGGACTCCAAAAATGAATGCCATGAGGCAGAGAGCATATATATGTACATGTAAGGACAACAAAATTAATAAGATAACAAAAGGTGGAAAATAACAAAGGGTAGAAGCTAACAAAGGAAGCCAACAGATGATTGGCGCTGATAGGTGATTAGCAAAAGACAATGGAAGCCAACACTTAAGTTATCATAGATAAGTAATATGTAATGGCACTGATAGGTGAAAGAATGGACATAGCAAAGGGCAAATGGAAGCCAGCTAGGTAATTAGTCCCGACAAAGATAAAAGCAATAAGTCCCAATCACTAGGCAGAAAGGTTCCCTGGTCACGGTTCATGGCTGGCTGGTGTCTCCTGATGTCAATGGCTTCTTGTAGTTTTTTTTGTCGCCAGTTGTTGTTGGTAGACAGGACTTTGGTAGCTTCCAACGTGAAGTTATGGTTTTCGTTCTTCACCATGTGATCGGAAAGCGGATTTCAGGTCGAGTTTAACAGAGGCCCGATGTTCTTTGAGTCTGGTGTTGAGGGGTCTAAGGGTTTCTCCAATGTACTAGTGGCCACAGTTGCAGGGTATCTGCTATATACATCGGGGGTTGGGACTTGCGCTGCTTGTGCCTCTAACATTGTCTTGTAGATGGTCTTGATGGACAATTTTATTTGTCTTACCATTGAACATTTTCAGAGCCTATTAGTTAAGTGTTTTTCATTTTAGATTTGCTGTGTCTTGGTTTCTCAAAATCTTGGAGGTGTTTTTTTTCGATACGATAGTGAATCTGGTTTAAGTTTGGGATTGATCAGGGGCAGTCGCTTTGATCTGTGTCGGCGGCCACATCTGAGCAGGGTATATCTAGTCTACAGTATTGTTTTCATTCCCAATTGTCTTGGTGCTAGATTCCTAGATTGCCAGATTCCTGTCATTTCGGAAAACAAGGCAGGAAAGTCAATAACGCTCAATAAATCAATTTCGTTCACCTCAGTAATACTACAGAATTCATTTTCTTCACTTGCGTCATTAGTATTGCTAGATAGCCATTCAAAATCCAAATCACCGTAAGGACAATCTATTTTGTTTCATGTAGCAGCATGACGACATCAAACACCAGAACCAAAGCATTCATTTATAAGTCAGATGAAATGTTACAAGACCAGACAAAACACTATTGTATGCATTGCACTTATTCGTTCATAAGTGTTGCGTATATTGACTCTAGCTGAGGGGGCACGGGTGGCCCAGTCGTCTAAGGCGCCGCGATTCGCTGTGCAGAGTTGCGTCCCTTGGGCACGCCAGAAACCTATGATTGTGGGTTCGAATCCCGGTTCGCCCCAATTATGTTTCTAGGTTTGTCAGCACCATACCCGTGCTCGTGGGTTTCACCGAAGTGGTAAACGTCTGAGACCTGCATCACTTCGGGCTTTCCTCCCACATTAAGCTGACACGCCGTGATATAACTGGAATACTGTTAAAAGCGGCGTTAAACCCAACTCACTCACTCACTCACGACTCTAGCTGAGATGCTGTCGTGTTCGTCGGGAGATTCTACATGTTGGTTCTGAAACTCGGCAGCGGATGGTGTACGATCCTTATATGGAAACGCAAGCTCCTTCCCTTCCCAGGGCATGACACCTTCGTTACACTCTCGGTAACATCGCTGCCACCAGTGTGGGCGCGGCCAATACTCTGTACAGTTATATTTGAAAAAGGTTTACGACTGACCATATTTCCCAGATGAACAGATTTAACTTTTTGTTTGTTTGATCAGATTGGTTCGAGATTGCAGACGAACGGAAAATCACCCAAATTCCCCCTTACATTCTTACGATACCAATTACAAGATAGTTGAAAACAAATAGAAATTCCAATAGTAAGCATAACGGTCCGTCTGTTGCGAGTTCAACTCCAAGCATATTTCAAAGTTTAGTATGTAAATTATTTGAACAGGTAATGTTTATGGGCGATATTTTATTGTACACAATACACATAGAATGATTGCAAGAAGCTCAGACACATTCTTTGGGTGGTATGAAGACATCGGGGTCAGAAATACCAATGGAAACATCGTAGAAACTGAAAAAGAACAACTCTGCGAGATCACAGGAATATTTGCCATGGTAACTGGATTTGACATCTATATCTAGATTGAATGGGGGCACGTGTGGCGCAGTCTTCTAAGACACCGCTATGCCCAGTGCAGGGTTGCATCCCTTGGGCACGCCAGAAACCCATGATCGTGGGTTAGAATCCCGGTTTGCCCAATTATTTTTCTAGGTCTGTAAGCAACATTCCCGTGCTCGGGGGTTTCACCAAAGCGGCTAATGTCCGTGACCTCCATCACTTCGGGCTTTATTAGTCTCGTAGCCATAGTGCTAACTTTGCCATGCCATGAAAAGTTATCTCTAGATTACGTCAGTACTGAAGGTCACTGTAGCGATAAGTTCAGATGGAACCCTGATGTTCCTGCTAAAATGATTTATCCATTTGTGCTCGGATAATAATGAATGTATTTAAGCTATGCCTCTTACGACAGGCATAATCTCCTTTTATGGCAAGCATGGGTTGCTGAAGACCTATTCTAACCCGGATCTTCATGGGTCCTTTAAGCTATGCATGACGTCAATCAGAACACATATAAAGAAACTGTGATGTTTCCTATGTTTGATAGCTGTAGATAGTTTAAAGTGGGACACTCACTATCTAACAACAGCCCCCGTCTCGTTGCTGAAGAAACCTGTCTGGATGGGAAGACAGTCAGCTCCGGTCATTGTCATGTAGTATGGATCTGGAACAATCAAATATTATTCGTTCGTTCGCTCGCCCACCCACTCACTCAGAAGATGTGTAACCCATGGCAACTGATACTCGTATATCAATAGTTATGTTTCAGATCCGGAACAATGGTAAAAGTAGTTACATATTCCATGTTACAAATGCGGTTTCACTGTATATAATATTCAATCATCAAACAGAAAAGACAGAGGCGTACGGCTGTTGTTTTGTTGTTCAAGGCAGCGCTCAGCAATATTCCAGCCTGTAAATAATCAAGAGTGGATCAGACAATCCACTGATTGACATCATGATCATCGATCCACGCAACACACGAATCTCTGAGCCTGACCACTTGGTCCAATTAGCTAACTCTTTCGACAAGAACAGTTTGCTAACCTACACGGGTTAGGTGTAAGGTCCTTGCATCGTGTCGAAAATGCCAGAAAATCTAAATTTAAATTTGGAGAGGGTATTCACTATGCTGCCAACGTTTCAAGGCGATGCTGCATTTTTTATTGTTCAGTTGTTATGTATGTGCGGGGGATACGGGTGGCCCAGTCGTCTAAGGCGCCGCGAATCGCCGTGCAGAGTTGCTTCCCTTTGGCACGCCAGAAACCTATGATTGTGGGTTCGAATCCCGGTTCGCCTCGATTATGTTTCTAGGTTTGTCTGCACCATACCCGTGCCCGTGGGTTTCACCGAAGTCACCGAATGTCTGAGACCTGCATCACTTTCCTCCCACATTAAGCTGACAAGCCGTGATATAACTGGCACACTGTTAAAAGCAGCGTTAACCAGAACTAACTCACTTACAATCTTTTTGCGTTAAAGGTTGGAAGATTTCAGTGTTTGAAGTTCCTAGGTTTGGGGACGTGGAGAATCCTGGTAGAATTTATTCTCAGCACCCTATTCCTTGTCTTAATAAGCGTCAAAAATTGGTGGTCTGGCTCGGCAATATGTTTGTTTGCGTGTCATCTTGCCCCAAAGGCACAGGGCGTTGTTCATAATATCACCCACTGGTTTACCTCGATGTATGTAGTCCAGCGCAGTATGGCTGGAGTATGACTGGATGCGGCAAAAAACAACAGACAAACTAAAAACTATCTTCTTCCAGTAGGAACTCACTGTTATCCTCGTCACGACCGTCGAAGACGTTGACGATAACGTGTTCGTCAGGAACGCCAGCGGCGCCGACATCAGCGGTTCCCCTGAACCTGGCGTCTGGGGGGACAGAGTAGGAGCGACAGGGGCGGGGATTGGCAGTCACGTTGCACTCGTGGGTTAGGAGGTTGAGCTTGTAATGCTTGTCCTGGGAAAACATGCATATGCTTGGATATCGTTTAGGTTTGGGTCTATGTGGCAATCCTGCGTGAGTTAGGTAGGAGTGGTTTTCATGTTTGCCGTGGAAGGATTCGAAACACAGATTCACACCGATAATGAACTTTTGTCTATTAACAAAGGTGGGAAATGAACTGACACACCCTGATGTAACTGAATTACACTGCACTCACTCACTCACTCACTCACTCACTCACTCACTCACACACTCACTCACTCACTCACTCATTCACAACAGAGATATGTTTAAAGCGCATGGCATTTTTGCTCCGGTCAATGGATCAGTGTGGATTCAATTTCGATTCTTCCTGGGGTATATACAAGGAATTGCGTATTTCCTACCTAATTGTCCAGGAATAGTAATTCATGAACTTTGATATCCCGGCCGATCTGACTCCTTTGCATCTCCCAGAACCTCCTCTGTGTGTCGTCATACGCAAAATGGCTAGTGATGACGACTTTCTGGTCTGGGTCGAACTGGAAAAAACGAGATCGATAATTCATATCAGTGTATACATCCCCGAGAAGTATTGCAGTTTTCCAAAAATTAAAAAAAAGAAAGATATTTCCAATTGGCAAAAACAGGTCCTCAGCCCTCCCCTAGAAAATATAATAACATAATAATACAGTTATTTAGCGTTGTGTATCATATATGTTACTTGCTTATTCTAAAGCATATAAGATAAGTACACGTGTTCCTATCTGCGACATCAGTATGTTGTCAAAATAAACTGACTATCGAGTTATCCGTTGTTCGAGATAAGCGGAGTGCATATAATGACTAGGAATTCACCAGACAGTTACATCGATTTAACTGAAAGTATCTTCCAAAACAAACAATGTATTTGAGTAAACATTTTACTTCGCGTGGTTTTGTTACACCAAGCCGTTTATGGAATGGCCGTTGGATGACCGCAAACATATGTAAGCATCCATTAACGTATAGTTTTTGTTGTTGTTTGTTTTGTATTGATTGTTAAAACATATGAGATGAGTACATGGGCATTTGGACACTTACGATAGAAAACTGGCCTTCAATCTGCTCAGGACTTCCTGAAGAAGGATCAACAACAGCGACTAAATGTCAAGCTAAACAATCCTTGGTTGAGAGGTGTTGAAATGTTTAAGACCACTTTTCCCAAAGCATTGTAACGTTACGATCACCGTAGCATTCTTCTCTGCTCTTCATAAGGATATGTCAATTTCAGGTGGGGACTGACTGTGATTCTTTGGAGATGTTGGCATATACATAGTACTCGTTGTTGAGTCTTTTGTTTGTTTGTTTGTTATTTAACGCCGCACTCAGCAATATTCCAGCTATATGACGGCGGTCTGTAAATAATCGAGTCTGGACCAGACAATCCAGTCATTGACATCATGAGCATCGATCCACGCAATTGGGATCGATGACATGCATCAACCAAGTCAGCGAGCCTGACCACCCGATCCCGTTAGTCGCCTCTTACGACAAGAATAGTCGCCTTTCAGTTCAAGCATGGGTTGCTGAAGACCTATTCTACCCCGGATCTTCACGGGCCTGTGAGTCTTGGAACGGATAACTCGAGCTTGTGGTTCATATTCATTAATTACTTTATTACGCAAGGCATAAACATGCAATATTGGGAGATAAAACTAAAGTTGAATAAATTGCCAACTGTATACTTATGAATGATGCTACAAGACATGAGGTTTAACCAACTACTCACTGCAAGGGTGTGGCAATTGCGCCAGGGAGGCTACCCAGAGAAAAGCCAGCGAGACAACCAGCAACATGACGGCTTGCTCAGGAGACAGAAATAACGTAATTTTAGATGCACTTCATCTGTGATTGTTATGATATCCTGGAAGGGACATTGTCGGGTTGTGAAACTTTCTGTTTGTTTTTGTCAGGGCGACAATGCGACAACGCGACAATGTCCCTTCTAGGATTCCATAGATTTTTCGAGGGGTTGACCGTCAATGTACACACCACTTGCAGTGACCTCCGCACTTTCTTATCGTCCACATTTCGATGAGATAAAATTCTATAATTATTTAAGGCTTTGAAAACTTTCAGCATAACAGCAGGAATCGTTTTACACGTTGTACTATATATAAAGAATCGAACCTGGGTTTTCGAAGCGCCGACAGCGCAGTTTAACCATCGGTCAACCGGAACTTACTTAAATCGTATACTATTAAAATGTATTTCAGGGATCGACAGATTAACTGTAGTAATGTGAAAGAATCGGATGGTCCCTAACTTCTTTTGAGTAGTATAAATAATGACACCTGGGCAAATGGTTGAGTGCAAGATCAACGATCCGAACCATCGAGGAAATCCGCTAAGTTACCGATCCTCACCACCACTTCTAGTCAAGCCCGAAGTACTGGGGACCTAGTCTTCTACGGAATCCCAGCTGCATTTGTGGTCGTGTAAATAAAAGCGACAAACCCCTTTCGATATTCATAAGAAATCAAAAACAGAGTCGATTGTACGATTCCGACTATACCGTGAGCAGTTGTGTATGAATTCCTATCTAATAGTGATGATACCAGGTGTTCGCGAAAAGGTGAGGATATCGTAACCCCACCGGTGGCAGCCGTCACAAACACATGCACAGGCAAGGCAAACACGGGCATATATGGTACTGAGCACGTACAACACTAAATGCCCTGGGAATACATTTCGTCTTCTCCGTATTCAGGATCCAACTATTCTCTTTAAGTGTATCGGGTGGCCCGATTGTCTCATGCGCCGCGATTCGATGTGCAGAGTTGCGTCCCTTGAGCACGCCAGAAACCTATGACTGTTGGTTCGAATCCCGTCTCGCCCCGATTATGTATCTAGGTTTGTAAGCACCATACCCGTGCTCGTGGGTTTCACAGGATATATACTGGAGATATAACTGGAATAATGCTAAAAGCGGCGTTAAACTCAACTCACTCACACACTTTAATTGTATCACACAACAGACGCGCTGTAAGGAATCCCAACTAGTCCGATGGTCGTATAAATAAACCCCTTATTAATAAATATTGACATGTACAACACTGGATGACCATATTTCCAAAAGAAACAGGTTACGTCAGGGTCATTTAAGTCTTCAGAAACTTGTGTTGCACCCTTTTAGAATAGTGACCGCTGACTACTAACCCTAAATCAGACTATCCACCTGACGTCACCAAACTGACTTAGATGTTGCCGGTGATATATCTTCATCTATCACAATGTTTGAAGACAAGAAAGTCAATGTTTTGTATTGAACGTACATTTCTTGCAAGCTGCAGCACCAGTGAAACATTGGCTTACTGAGGCAGAAATGCTTTACCTCTGATCTGACAAGATAACAATTGTATATCGCATCAAAATGCCGCGAATGGAAAACGTCTTTTATAATAAACCGACTTAATCAGCAGCAAACAGAAAAGAATACCCTTAAAACGCCCATCCGTTTGTTACACTTCAACTGGTCATGCATCAATTTTGTGCTAAATACATAATCACTCGAAGTTTCTGATTATATCACAATAATGTTTTATTGTACAAAATACACTGAATCATGACAAACATGTAGTCCCGATGTTTAGGTGGAGCATTCTCTGGGTGGTATGAAAGCTTCCGGGTCAGAAATACCGAGGGAGATATCGAAAAAACTGAAACAGAGGCGATATTTTGTTTATCATGGGAACATTATTAATAACTATAATGCTATTATGGTACATCTTTACATCCCCTGTTCTCAGTGGCAAAGATGCTGCAGGTGGACAGTATGTACCGTTAACCCTGAATATAAGCCCGAGTGACCTGCACCCATTTGGTACTATTCGGAACCAACTCGTCTTAATCCGGGACAAGCCGAATAGCTTCATAACAATAGTTATTTAGATGCCGCACTTGAGGAGTAGCATCGTTTTTGTTATATCCAATATCACAAGAATGTTAATTTTAAATAGCAGGCAAATATCTTGATAGGCGTTTGTTGCATTCGGAGTTTGCTATCAACAAAACTGGTTATGTTAAATGACACCATTATCCTGAGGATACGTGTCTCATTCATTACAGCAAACTGTTGTCGATATTTCTAGCGTGGAACACTTACTCCCTGTGGACACCCCCAGTTTCGTTGCTGAAAAATCCTCCTTGGACAGGGATGCAGTCAGTTGCGCTCGTCATCATGAAGTAAGGATCTGGAAAACCATCATCATCATTATCATATTTAGAATTGTATTCATTATCCTTGCGCCTGAAAGGGTATAAAATGATATATATGTCTGTTATAATATTTCAATCATAAGAACTGGAATGCATTGACACAGACATACTTCGAGGCCAAAAAACCCGCAATGTTAGTTTTTGTATTGACAAAATCGCAGAGGGCATGGATGTAAAGTCGGTCGATAATCTGATCCAATTATTTTCAAAACCGGGTCACATCATCATTCGAAAAATAAACCATTTAAAAACATGTACACGACTGTAAGGTTTTGCACGAGCATCCAATGGATGCCGGTGGACACATCTTCGGTGGCTTGCCAGAAAAACAACAACGAGATAACGGACCAGGCGATGGGTATGTTGAATGCCGTCAGTTGACAACGCAAGTAGCCTTAGCATTCAAGCTGACCATTGCAACGCGCGGTGCCCGGAAACAAACACCATAAGCAGCGTGTTTGAACGTCCACCACCAAGGGTCACACGTCAATTAACGTTACGCCAATTTCGAATCATCCGTCTGCTGATCTTATGCAATCGATTCCAGGCTTGTGTCGTAAAGCGCCTTTGCAGGTCAATGCCAAGGTCAACGCCTTTGTGGGTCAATGCCAAGGTCAACGCCTTTGCAGGTCATGCAGACATGCATCAAAGTCCGATGTGGACACACCGTCATTGAGTGAAGGTGACTCCATCTGTGATGAAGGCATCATTGACGTCGGCGACACTCAGTTGCACTGGAGCAGGGTGCATCACGTTCCTAAATGTTGTGTTCACCTATATTCTTTAAGGTGTAAATTAGTACAACTTGGCCTGAAGCTCTTGTTGCGTTTTTTAGTCCTCTGAATATATATTCGTTGTACAACAATAGTTATTACGTGGTTACTCATGGTTGTAGATGCCCATCGTGGAATGGTTGGAGTATGACTGAATGCGCGCAAAACAACAAACAAATTGGGAACTCACTGTTATTCTCGTCACGACCGTTGAAGATGTTGACGATGACGTGTTCATCTGGAACGCCAGAAGCGCCGATGTCAGCAGTCCCGTTGAAGATAGCGTCTGGGGGGACGCCAATAGGAATCCAGGGGCGGGTCAGACCAGTCTCATTGCAGACCCGAGTACGCATGTTGACTCTGTACTCCTTGCCCTGTGCGAGAATATAGAAAGTGATACAAGATGGGTGGGATGGTTATCACGCCGTGCCCTGTGCGAGAATATAGAAAGTGATACAAGATGGGTGGGGTGGGTATCACGCCGTGCTCTGTGCGAGAATATAGAAAGTGATACAAGATGGGTGGGATGGGTATCACGCTGTGCCCTGTGCGAGAATATAGAAAGTGATACAAGATGGGTGGGATGGATATCACGCCGTGCCCTGTGCGAGAATATAGAAAGTGATACAATATGGGCGGGATGGGTATCACGCCGTGCCCTGTGCGAGAATATAGAAAGTGATACAAGATGGGTGGGATGGGTATCACACCGTGCCCTGTGCGAGAATATAGAAAGTGATACAAGATGGGTGGGGTGGGTATCACGCCGTGCCCTGTGCGAGAATATAGAAAGTGATACAAGATGGGTGGGATGGCTATCACGCCGTGCCCTGTGCGAGAATATAGAAAGTGATACAAGATGGGTGGGATGGATATCACGCCGTGCCCTGTGCGAGAATATAGAAAGTGATACAAGATGGGTGGGATGGATATCACGCCGTGCCCTGTGCGAGAATATAGAAAGTGATACAAGATGGGTGGGATGGCTATCACGCTGTGCTCTGTGCGAGAATATAGAAAGTGATACAAGATGGGTGGGGTGGGTATCACGCCGTGCTCTGTGCGAGAATATAGAAAGTGATACAAGATGGGTGGGATGGTTATCACGCCGTGCCCTGTGCGAGAATATAGAAAGTGATACAAGATGGGTGGGATGGGTATCACGCCGTGCCCTGTGCAGTAGTTAAATCATATCTGACATGCCAACTGAGGACGAGACGTGTGACAATAAAGGCGACAAAACCCTTTCCATATTCATAAGAAATCTCTGCCAAAAGCAGAATCGATTGTTCGATTCCGACTGTATCACTGATATACAGTAAACTACGGTTATAACGAACACGCTTATAACGAACTATCGGATATAACGTACTAACGTTTTAGTCCCGACTATATGCTGAAGTTATGCTGTATATATGCTTATAACGAATTACGGTTATAACGAAATAAAATTAGTAGTCCCTTTGAGTTCGTTATAATCGTAGTTTACTGTATTTATGTGTGTATTTCTGAATCGCTATGATTTGTGATGATGCCAGCTTTTCGAAAGCCAAGTAAGGCCAATAAGGGGCACGGTACACTGGATGTCTGCTACTTTAGTGAAACCCATGAACACGGGTGTGATAAAAGATGACACTCGGGACGAATCTAGGATTCGAACAGCGACCAGCGACTCCCTCGTTTTGATCCGCGATCGCGATCACGAGGACTTTCTTAAGCGCCCCTCTTGTCAAAACAAATGTCCATGATCGCGACCGCGGTGCGAAAGATTCGCGCCCACGTCGCGACGGAGAGGATGTTTGTTTTGGTAGTATATCCTGAACTCAAGGATCCGTTATTCCGCTCCGTGATCGCTAGCATGGAAAATTTATTTCGCGCCCCTGTAGTCAAAAGAAGTGTCCATGATCGCGACCGGGACGCGAATCTTTCGCGCCCATGTCGTGATTGAGAGGATGTTTATTTTATAACAGTAGTATGGACATACGTCGGGACATTGCAGCTCACCTCGTTGTAAAGGAAGAGTCTGTCGAAGTAGTCGACGTCACGGCCCACTTGAACCTCCTCGAATTCACGGAACCTTCTCTGTCTGTCGTCATAGGCGAAACGAGCTTTAGAGAAAAATCTCTTGTCTGGGTCAAACTGGAATGAAAAATATGCACCTGCAAGGTGATACAACTAATATGACGTTATACACAGGTCGACATCATTCGATAATATATATTTTATGCTTATGTTTATGAATCTCGTAACTTCTGATTTCCATCCCGTTTGTATTTCCCAAATGGATAGATAAACTGAGGCTTTGGACACATCAGAAACGAAATCGTTCACTGGTTTCCATAAACCAAACTTCAGAGAAATCCCTTAATATAAAGCGCGTTTTGGATTCTATAGAATTTATGAAAATGAATTGGCATCACTCACTGTTACCAACCGGCCCTCAAACTCTTCAGGGCTTCCTGAAGAAACATATCAAAATCAATTGAATTCTGGCAACGTAGACTTAGAACGCCCAAAGGTCCATGAAATACTAATAGACATGGTTACTATAGTTTAATAATTGTCTACGTTACTATGCAAAATGTTAAATAAAATAATGTCAGGGTTGATTTGAGTTAAATTACAGAAACTATGTTAAAACAAAGTTGATAACTTTGGAATTAAAAGCGTCCTCATTAACTGTCAGACTGATAAACATTTGAACTACCCCACAGACAAAGTGGATTTTGAGAGACTGTATTCACATATGCTGGGAGTGGCCAAATTAGCCGGAATTTTAATCCTCTTTTATAACGTCGACTTTCTCAGGTGTCTCATCCTTGACACTAAAACCATCACAAGGATTACCGAGATGTTAATAAAGATCGAGGGATTATTTCAGCCTGTATACTACTCACTGCAAGGGTGTGGCAGTTGCGCCAGGGTGACGACACACAGGGCAGCCAGCGAGACAACCAGCAACATGACGGCTTATTCAAGAGAACGCGGGATGTGGAAGATAAGTCTATTTCAGGCGCATTTATACCGCTGCATGTGCTGACCTCGCTCTTATCTTCCAAACTTTGACGACAGACTTTTTAATTTTCTCCTGGATTAAATAGTGAGTGAATGTTGTCTAGAATGGTTGGTAATATTCACATGCATTTCAACTTGACCCAGGATACATGTTTGAGTCACAAGTTTCTTTTGTTTGTTTGTTGTTTAACGTCACAGTCGGCAATATTTGTTATATGCCATCCTGTAAATTTACTGAACCGGACTAACCAGTGATTGAAAGTATGAGCACCGATTCAGGCTATTGGGGCACAATGACCTTCAGTCGAACGTGTCCACCAAACTGACCATCATTCTGGCTCCTTTGAGTCGGGCCTAACGACAAGCATAGGCACATGGAAAGTCTCTTTCCCTAGAAGCCCGCAGAGGCTTTACCATGTAATGCATCTCCCAGACTATCGCGCTTCTATTGCGTGAGTCGCTATTCGGCCAAAAAAAATGCCGATTATATTTTCACTCGCCCTGTTATATAAAACTTGAAACAATCACATGACTGAGCATTAATCAAGTAAAGTGGGAATATATGTGATCTGTTTCTATGGGATGAATGACCTGTAATTCCCTTCAAACTCCCATCCGTGTGTTACACTTCAATTGGTCGTGCGTCAATAGTGAACTGAATCAATAATTATTCGAGGCTTCTGATTATATCACAATAATGTTTTATTGTACAAAATACACTGAATGGTTACAAACATGTAGTCCTGATGTTTAGGAGGAGCATTCACTGGGTGGTATGAAAGCATCTGGGTCAGAAATACCGAGGGAGATATCGTAGAAACTGAAAGAGAAACAATTATATCATAGGAACATACATTAATCAGTTAAAGCTATGGTATCATTACACATCTTTACATCCTTGTACTCAGGTTAAATGGTATGTACCGTTAACCCAAATATAAGTCTGAGGGATATGCGTCAGTTCGGTACATCCGAAGTTCACTATTCACTATATTTATTGTTTAATAGTTACTTTATATACCGGGGGACATGGGTGACCTACTCGTCTCATGCGCCGCGATTCACTGTGCAGAGTTGCGTCCCTTGGGCACGTCAGAAACCTATGATTGTGGGTTCGAATCCCGGTTCGCCCCGACTATGTTTCTAGGTTTGTCAGCACCATACCCGTGCTCGTGGGTTTCACCGAAGTGATAAATGTCTGAGACCTGCATCACTTCGGGCTTTCCTCCCACATAGAGCTGACACGCGGTGATATAAATGGAATACTGTTACAAGCGGCGTTAAACCCAACTCACTCACTCACTTTATATACCGCCCCTGAGGAACAAATGGTGCAATCACTGGTGTTCAGTGATTCATTCATATGGTTTTTGCCTTACGCCCAATTGATTCTGTTTCGACAGATAATCGAGACTGATTATTCTCTGACGTTAACGTATCTTGATGTTATCGTTATTCACAAGAGTACAAGAGTATCACCCCAAAGATTTGATTTCGTGTATCCAAAGTTAGCCCCAAGTGTAGTAGTAGGAATTACCTCTCCTTATACCGCTCTCGTTATATCTACAGAAGATAACAGTTATTTCACAAGAATAGAAGTGTTAGATACTACCTTGTTGATTATAATTGTGTTTGTTATATCCGAAGTTCTCTATTTAGAAAACTGGTTATGTTCAATATCACCCCCGAGGATAAGAATCGCATTCGATGTCACCTTATTACCAAATATGATTGTTAGATGTCTGATGCAATTCCGTTTTTTTTACTGTTTTTTTTTTAGGTTGACACTTGCCTTGCCTTTGCATGTGTTTGTGACAGGGTGCCAATGGCGAGGCAGGATACGATCACATTTTCGCGAACACAAGGTAGCCCCACTCTTGGATGGGGATTCATAAACACATGCTTATGATATAGTGGGAATCGTACAATGGATTTTGTTTTCAGCAGTTTTTTGGTACGATTATGGAAATAGGTTTGTTACTTGTATTAACGTGGAATACTCACTCTGTGAGGATACCCCCAGTGTCGTTGCTGTAAAATCCTGATTGGATAGGGATACAGTCCGTTCCGCTGACCGTCATGAAGTAGGGATCTGAAAAAATCATACACCAGTCATCCTTGTAATCAGTTGTCTTCACTCCCGTTTTCTTGCCTCTGACTGTGTGTGCACTCAGCAATATTCAAGCTATATGACGGCGGTCAGTAAATAATCGAGACTATCCAGACAATCCAGTGACTGACTTCATGAGCATCGATCTTCGCAATTGGGATACGATGACATGCATCAACTAAGTCAGCGAGCCTGACCGTCTGATCCCGTTAGTCGCCTTTTTCGACAAGAATGGATTGCTGAAGACCAATTCTACCCCGGATCTTCTCGGGTTAGTGTATATATGCATTTCCTATACATCGCGATGTTACACTTGTGATCCTTGTCATTATGGTAAAACTCTGCATTCGTTGTATTTAAGGTGTTAATTAATCAAGCTTGAAGTAATGGTTGCGTTTATATTTCCTCCGAGTATATATATTTCATTCAGATGGCAATAATACTTGTACAGCAATAGTAATAACGTAAAAATGGTAACTCACTGTTATTAAATTTGCCGTCGAAGAGGTTGACGATGACGTGTTCATCGGGAACGCCAGCAGCACCGATGTCAGCAGTTCCCCTGAACCTGGCATCTGCGGGGACGCCGAATGGAATCCAGGGGCGGGTCAGCCCGGTCACATTGCACGTGCGGGTACGGATGTTAACTCTGTATTCTTTGCCCTGTGGGGGAATATAGAACGCGATAAATGTCGGTGAACTCATAATCAATGTGGTAATTTAATGTTGGCGTGAATGAGTATGGTTTTATGCCGCTTTAGCAATATTCCAGCAATTTCACGGCGGGGGACACCGGAAAATTGGCTTCACACATTGTACCCGTGTGGGGAAACGAACCCGCGTCTACGACGTGACGAGCCTACGCTTTAACCACTAGGCTACCCCACCTCCCCTTAAGGGACACGGGTCGTGGATGTCTTCTACTTTAATAAAAACTCATTAACATATTCAAAATCATAACCGGGAGCTATCTAGGATTCGAACAGCGACCGGCGGATCTCTTGTTTCGCCAATCTCATTAAAATCAGACCTTAGTTCTCGCTACCGCTAAACAAAGATTTGAAGACATCCCATTCGGGGTCACGTCAGAACGACCTTTCATCCGACCTACCAGAGCGTTACTTACCAGATGATGAAGTGACAGTCGGAATGTGATTTCTTATCATGCAACCTCGAAAACTTTATTCCGAACGATGATTACGGGTTTAACGACTGAGTCCATACAATCTAGCCCATCTATTAGCCATTCCATAATGTTCTTTTGTTCATGTTTCAAATTTGTAATCGAGAATTTGTCAAAATATCTTTCGAAGCGTAGTCGCCAATTTGAAATTAGTGCCGTAAAGCACAAGAAAGCTGCCTTCATATATGTCATTCCATTGGTCGGTCAAAGTTCGCGCAAGGTCGGTCTGACGTGACCCGTAATGGGATGTCCTCAGATCTTTGTTTAGCGGTAGCGAGAACTAAGATCTGATTTTAATGAGATTGCTTGTTTCGCTCAACGATCGGGTCATGGTAATTTATTCACGTCGCTATCGCGAACGAGAGAGTGTTTTTGTTTTGAAAACTGGTGTATAGATGGTGCATGTGTAGCTCACCTCGTTGTAAAGGTAGAGTTTGTCGAAGTAGTCGACGTCCCGGCCCACTTGAACCTCCTCGAACTCACGGAACCTTCTCTGTCTGTCGTCATAGGCGAAACGGGCTTTAGAGAAAAATCTCTTGTCCGGGTCAAACTGGAATGTAAAAACAGCTTAAGTGATACAAAAGTACTTGCAAGGAGATAAACTTATATGAGGTAATTCATAGGTCGACATAATTCGATTGAGATATTTTCATGGTCATGTTTGTAAATCGCGTAACTTCTGATTTCCATCTTGTCGGTATATGCCAAAGCCATAGATAAACTGAGGCTTGGAAGCATCAGAAATAAATTGTTAACTTGTTTCCATTTGCCTAACGTCAAAGAAATCCCTTACTATCGAGACACCGGGAGTAATGCATTTATAAATCTTCGATGAATGTTTGAATTTAACTTTAAATCGGTGTGTCAATACGAATGATTAGCGCGTTTTGGATTGCAACGAATATTTATTTAAACATGACAATGAATTGACATGACTCACTGAAGAAAGACGGCCTTCGAACTGCTCAGGGCTTCCTGGGGTGAAAACAACATCAGTGCAATTATTATTTCAGCCAAGTTTGACGTCTAACGCTCAAACTCTATGAAACAATTATAAGATAAGATTATTCTTGTTTACCGATTTTCTAGGTTCATACGCAAAAAGGTAATTCAAATTAATTTCTCAGGCTTTTATTTGAGAAAAATTACAGAAAATATCTTAATGTTGATAATTAAGAAATTAAAAATGTGCTCACCTGCTCAGGTGAAATTAGTGCCAAGTGTTAAAATGAGACATTGTGCAAATAGGGTAATTATTTAAGCTAGATTAAGGCGTTTCGTACTAGGTATGTACTACTACTGAACTTACTGCAAGGGTGTGGCAGTTGCGCCAGAGTAACGGTCACAAGCAGGGTCAAAGAGACAACCAGCAACATGGCGGCTTTTTCAGGAGACCACAGGAGGTGAATGATAAGAAAAATTCAAGCGTATTTATACCACTTTAGGTCTTGACCTCGATCTTATCTTCCAGTTTGGACGACAGAATGAATTCGCATAATCCCGAGTAGTGAATGAATGTTGTTTAATACCGCTTGCACTTGATCTTTAGTTTGACGAGTTTGGTGAGGTGAGGTGAAATTGGGTTTAACGTCGCGTCCAAGATTATTGCACTTGTTTAGCGAGGTGCATGCGCGCGCGCGAGCGCGAGTATGTGTGTGTGTGTGTGTGTGTGTGTGTGTGTGTGTGTCTGCTTGTACTAGTCCGGACTGATGCCGATTTATAGTGCTAGCTCACTGAGATACCATGCCGTAGTCGGGATCGAACCCCGGATGCTCTACCACTAGACCACGGAGGCGGTCTGACAAGTTGGGAACGAATGTAGTATGCCAGTATAAGACTTAATCCTGGTCGTGTAATGGTCCTGTATTCGATAAATTGTACGACCATGACCACCCGATCCATATAGTAAGAGTACGGAGATGCGAAACTCCCTACGAGATAGCATCGCGCATCATGTTGACAAGGTACGTGTCCTGTATTGTAAATTCCTTTGAATGTTTACCATCAACTTTCTGGGATGATTTGACGATGGTAAAACCTTGATTGGAAAGCCTAGTTGTAAGCAAACTGTGTCTTTTCGTGAATTTTGAATAATATGTCCATGTTATTAAAGCTGATGACAACCGCGGACGCCATCAGCCGGCGCTGACGGTATATTACTGAACGGGGAAATTCACGATTGGCAAATCAGTATTATGGCACAGTTGTGTGCTAACAACATTTTAGGTGGAACACATGAACAGCCATTAGATTTCAATACTTCTCACGCATTGTCATCACATCGGAACCACCTTTCGTGTGAGGCTCACTCATCATCCCGGATTCCCTGCCAAGCCCATCTTGGTAGCTTGACTACTGACGCCGATGGGTGAATATATATTGTAATAACTGACTTTTACTATCACCACTGTTTTTGTATTTGATACTGACAACTACCAGCATATTATACACTGTCATTGAATATTGTACTCTATTGTTTACTGCCATTGTAAGTGCTGTGCAGTAATTTGTATTGATTTCCAAACTTAGGTAATTTTGTAATACCTTTGTTGAATGTATGCCACTAGTTGGTTGTGTGCTGGTTTCACACTAAGTTCATTTACGAACAGATTTCTTGGTGAAGGTATTGTTTCAATGTGGGAATCGACACGAAACACTATGTACAACTATATTAGTTAGTATTAATTTTGCTGATTATAATGTATAAGTTTTAAAGATTGCAGTAAATAATTCAGAAATGAAAATTGGTTTCATGAAAGGGAATTTGGCTAAGAAGTTTAACTTAAGCTGATATCGTTCAATAATAGTTAAAAAGTCAATTCCCTTCCACTGATTTAGCCACCTGAACTAGTAATAAAAGAGATAATTCAAACCTTTTCGTCTGTTTTCTTATATTGTCCTAAGATTCAGAGTGTCAAAAAGCTCCCCCACAAGACGGTATGACAAGAGGGATGACTTCAACTTTCCCTTTATGTCGAGCAATATTCCAGCAGCTCCAGTTTTGGGTGTCTACATTTCACAACTTTTGGGGTACAGTTGAGCATGCTCTTTCTACGAATATTTCAGAGAGCGCCACACGACTCTTGCTCAGAAGTTGTTTCATCAACGTTACAACAGTCATGGCCGCAGTAAAACTTTAAAAATGTAGATGACACTCCCAAATTTGACGGTCCCATCCCCCTTTGTTAATTTAGTAAATGTCCTGTCGTTGACTAGAACTATGTGTTGTTCATTCAATTGTACTCCAGGCCACAAGACCGAAATACTGAATAACACCGGTAAATAGGTAAATGCTATATACCTATATTAAGACGCATGTCCATTCATTTGTATGAAGTACATACTGTGCAGACAACATATATACGTACATGCTATTTGTTATTCAACACTGCACGCATTGTGTGTGCAACCCCACTTCGCCAAACCTCACGGTATTCCTGTGCCCTCCTTATTACGGAAGTAGAACAAAATACTGTTCTTTATTTAATGCTCTTGTCATAATATAATAAACGTTTAAAGTTATTATTTGTTTGTGTTGTCAGAATGCAGTTCATTTGTTGTCATAAAGATGCATATACAAATAATGGCATAGTGCTGTCATAACATGCATTATTATAAGTGTTGTTATAGGTTGTCATATTTCACATAGATATATATGTGTTATCACAATATATTACTATTTGTTTCACGTTGAATATGAGGTAAGCATTTGTTTGTCGGAATGGATATTAAGCCAAATATTTATTGTGGTTATGCAATGCATATTATTTTCCTTCTATGAGAGGTTTCTGATGATATTATCACATCCGTATTACTGTCATATTACTTAGTGCTGTCATAATGCATATGTTCTTTCTTTAATATTGTCACAATGTATAAATTGTTCTGTCCTTAATGCTGTCATCATGTTTATAACGTCCTTTGCTTAATATTGTCACAATATATATATTGCTCTGTCCTTAATGCTGGCACAATGCATATAACGTTCTTTCTTTAATATTGTCACAATGCGTATATTGTTCTGTCCTTAATATTGTCAAAATTTTTATAACGTTCTGTGCTTAATATTGTCACAATGCATACATTGTAATAGAGTGTAAACACTGCATATACAGTTATTTGTTTAAAGTGCTAACACTGCATGTATAGTTATTTCTTTAAAGTGTTAACACTGCATGTACAGTTATTTCTTTAAAGTGTTAACACTGCATGTACAGTTATTTGTTTAAAGTGTTAACACTGCATGTACAGTTATTTCTTTAAGGTGTTAACACTGCAGGTACAGGGGGTGTTTCGCTGTGCAGAGTTGCGACCCTTGGTTGGCGCGCCAGAAACCTATGTTTGTTTGTTCGAATCCCGGTTCGCACTAAACATGTTTCTAGGTTTGTCAGCACCATGGCCGTCCTTGTGGGTTTCACCGAAGTGGTGAACGTCTGAGACCTGATTCACTTCGGGCTTTCCTCCCACATTAAGCTGACACGCCGCGATATAACTGGAATACTGTTAAAAGCTGAGTTAAACCCAACTCACTCACTCACTCCTCCCATATCAGACTAACACGCCGTGATATAACAGAAATAATGGTTCAAGTGTTGTACATGAATTGTTTCGACTCGTTATGACATGATAGTCTTATTTAAACGAACTGCATGTGCATGGCCATGTATTTGAAATGTAAAAAGTCCATGGTTTGCAATTGTGACACAATTATGCAAAACAAATATCGAGCGAAAGAACAGATAAAATAGAATTTGACTGAAAAGTACGTACTATTGTAATATAATCAACAATAGCTGTTTTAGAAAGGTTTATCCACGTCCTTCAGACTGTGGATATGTATAGCTTGACAGTGGTGTCGTTTTAGAAATAAGCCTGATCGATTACATAAACATGTCTTTTTAAGGACGGAAAGGCTTGCAGCTAATCACAGGAATAGGAACTCACGTTTTTCAGCAAAATTGGCGGACCTAAACATACACCATATATTTAACATCACCTCTGGTTTAAATACGAAAGCTTTTTCCAGCAAAATACAAAATGTCCTTGTGGAAAAATCTGATAAGCTGGCAGAAACTTTAATGGAGAAATAATGTTCATTCTGGTACATGCAAACTGTTTGCCCCTGAGTTATCGTTCTGCCTTTGCAAACATTTAAGAATCGAAACAGGCAGATAGAGTAATATAAAGGTTGAAAACAGAGTGTACTTTAACTGTAATGTTATTTTTGAAGATGAAGAACATGTTTTATTCCAATGTCAATTACACGAAGATCTCAGATCTATTTTATTTACGAGTATAACGGCTAATATGTCCAACTTTTTAACCTGACAAACAATGAGAAATTGTGCGTCCTTTTCAAACATGAAGTCTACTTCAGCGCCAGAACCTGTTTTTTAATATTACAACGCAGGAAGCTATTGTTATATGGGTAAACCATTTTCATTTATATAATCATTTAGTTTTGTATCGTCTCTCATAATAATAGTTTTTAAGTCTAAAATCCTATTTTATGCATGTTTTTTATGATGTATAGCCCTGAGACGAAAATAAAATGTCTGTCTGTCCTTCGTTTATTGTGGACGTGGAGGACATTTCCAAGTTTGACGCACCAGTGACAAGAATGATGTCTGATGAAATTCCCTATTTGAATTATACCATGTGGTCCGTGTTTTTTCAGGTGGACAATTGACTTGCCAATGCATGTGTTTGTGACGTTTGTGATAAGCTAAACTTTTTCGCGAAAACCTGATTTCATCATTATTTAATAATCATTTATCAGCACATGCTTAATATATAGTCGGATTTCTTAAGTACAAGGTTATCTGGAAATGGTTTTGTCACTTTAATTTACCATGGTCGCAGCACAATGATATTTTTGTTGACCTATCACGATAGTTTTAGAACAGGTGTGTAGCCTTCATATATTTGTACTCGTGGCATTCCGTTCAGTCACGTGATCACCACGAGGTGTGGTGGTGAACACGAGGGCTACCTTCACTTCACGTGTCCCTGCTTCTGAGCCAGATTTAGAAGACAAACACTATGAGTTTGTGCCTGGTGCCACCGGTGAGGCAGGTACGCTCACCTTTTCGCGAACACCTGGTATCATCACTATTAGATAGTGATTCATAAACACATGCTCGTGATAGAGTCGGAAGCGTACAATCGACTCTCCTTATAGTAGATATTTCTTGTGGCTTTGGGAAGGGTTCTGTCGCTTGTATTTTTCAGATATGCTGGTGTTATTAGGTGTTCGGACAACTGATTGGAACCGACTACATTAGCCGGAGATTTTAAATGAATAAAACATTCTGGACATTAGCATTGGCTGAAATATGGCCGATCTAACATAAAATTGTAACTCTTTTAATTCTTATATTAGTTATATACATTGTAATCACACTTTCTGGGGGTGTAGGGGGTGCTTGGATTTTGTATGGAGATCAGATATTTTTTCACCTACAATTAAAACTACGTGTCTGAATATTTTGATTTAAGAAAAACACCTTGGAACAATGTAATATTTGTGGCAGACAATTTCTTATTTTTCAATTGTCTGAGGCATAATTATTTCAAGAATTTTCTAGGACAATTACATTTTTTCGATAGTACCCCAGCCCAACAGAATATCAAATGGACGGTCCCTTATCACACAATTTGTTACAGGTTTCATCATGTACATTTTCATCATTATCCTTACAAATACTCTAAATACTCCTCCTCCCCTTCAAAAAAGAGACAAGAAAAGACGAATAATAGCATCAGATATAAACTGAGCTTATATCATATTGTTGTGTTGTTTATATACCCCTTTTATAACCAAGCACAGTTCCGTGAATGAATACCATCAGTCAAGTCCAGATCATAATCACTAGTGATATAACTCTTAAATACACAGTGTTTGGTTGGTTGGTTGGTTGTTTAACGCCGAACTCAGCAATATTCCAGCTATATGACGGCGGTCTGTAAATAATCGAGTCTGGACCAGACAATCCAGTGATTGACATCATGAGCATCGATCCACGCAATTGAGATCGATTATATGCATCAATCACGTCAACGAGCCTGACCACCCGATCACGTTAGTCGCCTTTTACGACAAGCATAGTCGCCTTTTACGACAAGCATAGTCGCCTTTTACGACAAGCATAGTCGCCTTTTACGGCAAGCATAGTCTCCTTTTACGGCAAGCATAGTCGCCTTTTCCGACAAGCATAGTCGCCTTTTACGGCAATCATGGGTTGCCTAAATACACAGTGGTAACGCACAGTAACAACACATCTATTTTATTACAAAAACATCCACTATCTGTACAGAAAAACAAAGAATGGGGAATTCATTTGACATTTTAGACAGTGACAGTCGGATGACATTCCTTTGGAGGTGTGAATGCCTTTGCATCGGCGGTCAAAGTGATATCATAAAATCTGTAATCAGACAAAGAGGTGAGTATATACTCTGTGGCGTTATGCGCGCGATGGACGCTTATACAGTGTGACATTCTTGAGGGGGGATGAACGCATCAGGATCGCGGAGGCCAATAGTGATATCGTAAAATCTGCAAGCAAGAAGAATGGGAGTGATTCTCGCATATGAAACCAAAAAGGCTATAACAACATAAGCATTTTGCCATGATATGACTTTTTGTGTTATTATTGACATAAAATTAACTCACGCCGATCTGAATGTGACAAAACTTAACAGTTACATCCCAGGACCTGTTAGTGAGTGAGTTAGTGGGTTTAACGCCGCTTTTAACAGTATTCCAGTTATATCACGGCGTGTCAGCTTAATGTGGAGGAAAGCCCGAAGTGATGCAGGTCTCGGACGTTTACCACTTCGGTGAAACCCACGAGCACAAGTATGGTGCTGACAAACCTAGAAACATAATCGGGGCGAACCGGGATTCGAACCCACAATCATAGGTTTCTGGCATGCCCAAGGGACGCAACTCTGCACAGCGAATCGCGGCGCCTTAGACGACTGGGCCACCCTTGCCCCCTCACCCCCCCAGTACTTCAATAAAGGTGTTATATTAACATTTGATCGTCGCATCTGTAATGATTAAGAAATTTAATTGGAATTTATCAACAATTTCAGAAATTTAATTGGAATTTATCAAATAATTTAACTTCGAAAGTTGTTCCTTACCACTGGTATTCATTATTCGTACTAGATCTTAGAAACACCTCATTGAGCGAGGTCAGCCAATAGCAGCCTATATGGAGTGAAGAAAAGAAGAAAAGATTGGTACGCGACTGCAAATCAATTGATGATGGACACTCACTGTCTGAGAACACCGCCGGTTCTGTTGCTGAAGAAGCCAGCAGTGACAGGCACGCAGTCCTCGACGGTGGCAATGATGAAGTAGCGATCTGGAAGGTAACCACCATTCACATGTATACAAATTGTAAACATTTCAATTTCTTTATTTTTAGATGGTTTTGATATTATTGTTTGTATATTCTGGTCGATAAATTCTTTCATTGAATGAGTATGCTTTTACGCCACTGTTAGCAATATTCCAGCAATATCACAGCGGGGGACACCAGAACTGGGCTTCGAACCTAGGAATCGAAGACCCAGGAATCGAACCTGGGTCTTCGGTGTGACGAGAGAACGCTTTAACCACTAGGCTACACCACGCCCCTTCTTTTCTTGAAAAGATTTTTTAAGCCATTATAGAATATTTCAGTCACACATATGTTCTTGAAACGAATTGAGGATAAAATCCATTTGCGTCTCATGTATTCTTCAATAAATTTAAATAATGTATTTAGTACCTATGCTATGCTATGCTATGCTATGCTATGCTATGCCATGCCATGCCATGCCATGCCATGCCATGCCATGCTATGCTATGCTATGCTAATAGTAAACAGTATAGTATATAGTATATATTTGTTTTACGCCCGATTAGTCTGTGGCGTTAACGTTTAAACTTGTAGGACACACTAGATTAACTCACTTCCGTCAGCCGTGCCGTCGAAGTTAGCAATGGTCACGTGTTCATCGGGGATGCCAGATGCGCCGATGACGCCCTCGCCTCTGAATCTGGCGTCTTGGGGAACAGCGAATGGGATCCAGGGACGCGTGAGAGTGCTGACGGTGCAATTACGGGTGCGCAGGTCCATACGGTATTCCAGGTTCTACAGAGAGTACAGGGAGCGTACGAATACATCATCATCATCATCATCATCACTACGTCGTTTTTGACCAATTCCATACAATCTACCATATCATATCATATGCAGACATCCGATAGACTCATAAACTACATGAGAGACACACAGACACTTCATGATGCAGTTGTTTTTTTTCAAACATTCCAACTGTAAGACGGAGGTCTGTACATAATAGAGTCTGGACCAGACATTCCAGTGACTGATATTACAGACACGCGTGGGTACTATGACACACAATAAAAAACACGTCAGGGAGCAGAACAACCCAATCACTTAAGACGCCTCCTACGACAAGCAAAGATTGCTGGGGACATGCTTAAACGGTGCTGGGTACTTAGTCAGACGGTGCTGGGGACTTACTCTAATGTTGCTGGGGACTTACTCTAATGTTGCTGGGGACCTTCTCTAATGTTGCTGGGGACTTACTCTAATGTTGCTGGGGAGTTACTCTAACGTTGATGGGGACTTACTCTAATGTTGCTGGGGACTTACTCTAATGTTGATGGGGACTTACTCTAATGTTGCTGGGGACTTACTCTAATGTTGCTGGGGACCTTCTCTAATGTTGCTGGGGACTTACTCTAATGTTGCTGGGGAGTTACTCTAACGTTGATGGGGACTTACTCTAATGTTGCTGGGGACCTTCTCTAATGTTGCTGGGGACTTACTCTAATGTTGCTGGGGACTTACTCTAATGTTGCTGGGGACTTACTCTAATGTTGCTGGGGACTTACTCTAACGTTGATGGGGACTTACTCTAATGTTGCTAGGGACCTTCTCTTATGTTGCTGGGGAGTTACTCTAATGTTGCTGGGGACTTACTCTAATGTTGCTGGGGACTTACTCTAATGTTGCTAGGGACTTACTCTAATGTTGCAGGGGACCTTCTCTAATGTTGCTGGGGACTTACTCTAACGTTGATGGGGACTTACTCTAATGTTGCTGGGGACTTACTCTAATGTTGATGGGGACTTACTCTAATGTTGCTGGGGACTTACTCTAATGTTGATGGGGACTTTATCTAACGTTGTCGGGGACTTACTCTAATGTTGATGGGGACTTTATCTAACGTTGTCGGGGACTTACTCTAATGTGGATGGGGACTTACTCTAACGTTGATGGGGACTTACTCTAATGTTGCTGGGGACTTACTCTAATGTTGATGGGGACTTACTCTAATGTTGCAGGGGACCTTCTCTAATGTTGCTGGGGACTTACTCTAATGTTGCTGGGGACTTACTCTAATGTTGCTGGGGACTTACTCTAATGTTGCTGGGGACTTACTCTAATGTTGATGGGGACTTTATCTAACGTTGTCGGGGACTTACTCTAATGTTGATGGGGACTTTATCTAACGTTGTCGGGGAGTTACTCTAATGTTGCTGGGGACTTACTCTAATGTTGATGGGGACTTACTCTAATGTTGCTGGGGACTTACTCTAATGTTGATGGGGACTTACTCTAATGTTGCAGGGGACCTTCTCTAATGTTGCTGGGGACTTACTCTAATGTTGCTGGGGACTTACTCTAATGTTGCTGGGGACTTACTCTAATGTTGCAGGGGACTTACTCTAATGTTGCTGGGGACTTACTCTAATGTTGCTGGGGACTTACTCTAATGTTGCAGGGGACTTACTCTAATGTTGATGGGGACTTACTCTAATGTTGCAGGGGACCTTATCTAATGTTGCTGGGGACTTACTCTAATGTTGCTGGGGACTTACTCTAATGTTGCAGGGGACCTTCTCTAATGTTGCTGGGGACTTACTCTAATGTTGCTGGGGACTTACTCTAATGTTGCTGGGGACTTACTCTAATGTTGCAGGGGACTTACTCTAATGTTGATGGGGACTTACTCTAATGTTGCAGGGGACCTTCTCTAATGTTGCTGGGGACTTACTCTAATGTTGCTGGGGACTTACTCTAATGTTGCTGGGGACTTACTCTAATGTTGCAGGGGACTTACTCTAATGTTGATGGGGACTTACTCTAATGTTGCAGGGGACTTACACTAACGTTGTCGGGGAGTTACTCTAATGTTGCTGGGGACTTACTCTAATGTTGCAGGGGACTTACTCTAACGTTATCGGGAACTTACTCTAATGTTGATGGGGACTTTATCTAACGTTGTCGGGGACTTACTCTAATGTGGATGGGGACTTACTCTAACGTTGATGGGGACTTACTGTAATGTTGCTGGGGACTTACTCTAATGTTGATGGGGACTTACTCTAATGTTGCAGGGGACCTTCTCTAATGTTGATGGGGACTTACTCTAATGTTGCAGGGGACTTACTCTAATGTTGATGGGGACTTACTCTAACGTTGCAGGGGACTTACTCTAATGTTGATGGGGACTTACTCTAATGTTGATGGGGACTTACTCTAATGTTGATGGGGACTTACTCTAATGTTGCAGGGGACTTACTCTACCGTTGCAGGGGACTTACTCTAATGTTGATGGGGACTTACTCTAATGTTGAGGGGACTTACTCTAACGTTGCAGGGGACTTACTCTAATGTTGCTGGGGACTTACTCTAATGTTGATGGGGACTTACTCAAATGTTGATGGGGACTTACTCTAATGTTGCTGGGGACTTACTCTAATGTTGCTGGGGACTTACTCTAATGTTGATGGGGACTTACTCTAATGTTGAGGGGACTTTATCTAACGTTGTCGGGGACTTACTCTAATGTTGAGGGGACTTTATCTAACGTTGTCGGGGACTTACTCTAATGTTGAGGGGACTTTATCTAACGTTGTCGGGGACTTACTCTAATGTTGATGGGGACTTTATCTAACGTTGTCGGGGACTTACTCTAATGTTGAGGGGACTTTATCTAACGTTGTCGGGGACTTACTCTAATGTTGAGGGGACTTTATCTAACGTTGTCGGGGACTTACTCTAATGTTGAGGGGACTTTATCTAACGTTGTCGGGGACTTACTCTAATGTTGAGGGGACTTTATCTAACGTTGTCGGGGACTTACTCTAATGTTGATGGGGACTTTATCTAACGTTGTCGGGGACTTACTCTAATGTTGATGGGGACTTTATCTAACGTTGTCGGGGACTTACTCTAATGTGGATGGGGACTTACTCTGACGTTGCTGGGAACTTACTCTAACGAGGAATACTTACTACATGACCTCTTCACGTAAGTCAGGACTTCAATACCCATTAAACTGCATATACATATATGTAAACATGCAGTCGATTTTTAACAATATCTGTCGTTGAGAAGGTGAGTTCCTGCGTTGATGTAGCTCACCAGGTTGTGGAGGTACAGTCTGTCGTAGTACTCCCGGTCACGTCCGATCTCCATCTCCTCAATCTCGCGGAAACGTCTGTTCGTGTCATCGTAAGCGAAGCGCCCAAACGCACGGAAATTCCTGTCGTTGTCGTACTGAAAATAAAACACATTGGGATGATTGCAAACTCGTCAAAGTCAGATCTTTTACTCAGACGCTACACACCGATCTGACACACGCTCCATGTCACGTGAGGTGTATTTTCTTATCAGCCAATCAGCACAACTGATTTCTGCATCTTGAAATCAAACGGGAAGTTCCGAATGGAGAATAATAAAGGTTATTCTGGACGAAGTGGCATCTACGCCAGAAAGGGTTTACTATCGAGTTAACATTTGTGCTTTATAGAGGTTTTCATTTGTTCAAGAGAGATACTGTAAACTATATAGTGAGACCATCTGTAATTAATGGTTACAACAGGGCAATCGATGCCTTGTTAATTCATAGTGTAATCTTTCCAATTTGTAAAATTCTTGGGGCATAGATACATTATGATGACGTATGACATACTAGCATTATATATTAAACTATAAATACAGAAAATAAGATTTAAAAACATATATATGAACTATCTTCCAGGGCATAGTGTGTGATAATGAAAATCGTCATCTGTTGCTCATATTTTTAATGTCGGACAAAATACTCAAACTAGCATTATCAAAACACAATTTCATTCTCAAATAAAAGTACATTCTACCTAGTGGAGACCATTGTTTGGAATAGATCGTTGGTATGTCTGATGAATGAATTCAATGCAGGCCAAACTTACAATAGAAAATCTTCCTTCGAACTGACGTGGACTCTCTGAAAGGTGAATATAGACAACATTAACCAGAGAATAGAACATCAGGTACTAAAGATTCACGTAATATGACAACACACACAGAGACACACACAGAGACACGCGCGCGCGCACACACACACACATTGTCGACAAAAAACGCCGTTCCCCTTTTCGAGGTGTGGAAGTGTGTGTGTGTGTGTGTGTGTGTGTGTGTGTGTGTGTGGAGGGATGGGGGGATGATTAAACATACTTACTTTGATTCTAAAATATGTCCGAAATGTTTCAAGTTTATTTAACCATTAACTCCCTCTGTAACGTCTATTTCTTTCTTTTAACATGGCATTCATATATTAACTCATCTTATATTGGGGCAAGGATTGCAATTTTAAGAAGTGAGTAATAATTTAATATCAAGTTTGACGGCTTATGTAATTAATATTTTAATACATAACACTTGAAACACATTATCTTGCGCAAGTTTTAAGGTACATTTTGTTAGCTGGGACACTCAACACATAATATTTAAATAACTTGGTGTCCGAATCTGGCTCTTACATATTAACGACAAAGACATTTTGTTAAAAAATGATATTCAATTAATATCTGAGCATGAGTTGTTTTTGTGTGTGTTTTTTGCACCTTGAAATATAACTCTGTCCAAAATAAAGCTCTATTTCGTTTTTTAATTTATTTTTTTATTGTCATAATAATTACTAGCAAGAAAGATACGTTTCACATACTGGCACCGTATGGTTAAAAGAAGGAACATTTACAAAAGGAATATGGACACAAAATATAACGACCCAAGAGCTGAAACCTAGTTATATTCATTAAGTGTTGTGTCTTGAAAACACAATGACCTACCACAGGGATGAGGTTCTTGAGCCAGGGCCACTGTGGCCAAGAGGCAGAGGCTTGCGACGGTGAACATGGCGGCACTAACACAGGTCTCCCGGTCACGTGGCACACCCTTATATACAGTCTGACATGTCACGTGACACATCAGATTAAAAAGACTTGGCGAACTGTGAAGCTGCCAGACGTCAAGACTGGCGCCATATCGTGGCATCGGTCTTCGCTTCTTCAAGGTGTTATAGATGCACTGACGTTTACTGACAATGTCTTCTAAATTCTTATTTCATTATCTAAAGGCAATGTACGAGTAGGAAGATTTCGATTCAACGTTTTGAAAATCACACACTGATCACAACGACGTTTATCAAGTTAATAATACACAAAAATATTACACATAATGAGGTTAAGAGATTTAAAAAAAGACTCCTTTAAAAACTCCTGTATCTGCCTCTGCAACATAAAAAAACCCGTCAACGCCAGAAAATGACAAGTTACGATTATCCGACGAAACAGTGTCCATTAATTTGGCAGAGGCAAAATAGCGGTGAAAATTATATGAATGGATCACTGAAAATCAGTCATGACACTGGGTGTTCGCGAAAAGGGAAACATGTCCTGGCCTAGTCTGTCATACAGACCCTGAAACAAATATACCCAATGCAGCCCATGCAAGTCTATAATAGTTGGCAAGTCTAGATTGCTGCAGTTTCAGGGAAAATGAAGAGAGTTTCTGGGCTCCTTTTTAATATATTTTTTCAAGATAATTTAACATTTTTTTCGGTAAAAACATTTTAGTAGCACCCGCTACTCACACAAATTTAGAAAAAAAGTATGGGCAAAACAAAAGTAAGCCTGAATTACAGAGAGTCGACATAAATGTACACTGGTTCTCCCTGCAGAGTTGCGTTCCTTGAGGGTCACGCGATCTAGGGTTCGATTCCCAGTATCTCTGTATCATACCTTACAAGCGTCCAAGATGTGCATCACTTCAGCTTTCCTTCCACGTTATGTCGACCCTTACTGAGTACCAAACTAGAAGATAACATAGACGTTAGGAGGGTTGATTGATAAGTACCGAGCCACACAGAGAAAGACTTGACCTAAAGACATTAACATGATTAATCCATCTCAATATCGACCTTTGCTTTTCTTACCCCAAGCCGAAACTTAGAACCAATGGCATCGATTGCTTTTGCTACCTTCGCCCGTTTGCACTGTAGTGGAAATTAAATATTTTTACCTTTTTGAACAAGAGAGATATTTCAATGAAAGCCCTTGCCTGACGAGCCACCAAACTGTGATGCGGTGCGACAGCTTCAATTAACAGGCAGGTATTGCCTGACGTAACTGTAAATGTAGGAACATTTCCAAAAAAGCACAGTCGAAGAATGGTTATTTTAATTTTATTTCAATGTACTAGTCTGTGAACATTGTTCAGTCTGTACGTTGCAACATGCAGTTACACTTATCAATAGTGAGTGTGTTAGTGAGCGAACGATGGTGAGAATAAGGAGTCTGTACGTTGCAACATGCAGTTACACTTATCAATAGTGAGTGTGTTAGTGAGCGAACGATGGTTAGAATAAGGAGTCTGTACGTTGCATTATGCAGTTACACTTATCAATAGTGAGTGTGTTAGTGAGCGAACGATGGTGAGAATAAGGAGTCTGTACGTTGCATTATGCAGTTACACTTATCAATAGTGAGTGTGTTAGTGAGCGAACGATGGTGAGAATAAGGAGTCTGTACGTTGCATTATGCAGTTACACTTATCAATAGTGAGTGTGTTAGTGAGCGAACGATGGTGAGAATAAGGAGTCTGTACGTTGCATTATGCAGTTACACTTATCAATAGTGAGTGTGTTAGTGAGCGAACGATGGTTAGAATAAGGAGTCTGTACGTTGCATTATGCAGTTACACTTATCAATAGTGAGTGTGTTAGTGAGCGAACGATGGTTAGAATAAGGAGTCTGTACGTTGCATTATGCAGTTACACTTATCAATAGTGAGTGTGTTAGTGAGCGAACGATGGTGAGAATAAGGAGTCTGTACGTTGCATTATGCAGTTACACTTATCAATAGTGAGTGTGTTAGTGAGCGAACGATGGTTAGAATAAGGAGTCTGTACGTTGCATTATGCAGTTACACTTATCAATAGTGAGTGTGTTAGTGAGCGAACGATGGTGAGAATAAGGAGTCTGTACGTTGCATTATGCAGTTACACTTATCAATAGTGAGTGTGTTAGTGAGCGAACGATGGTTAGAATAAGGAGTCTGTACGTTGCATTATGCAGTTACACTTATCAATAGTGAGTGTGTTAGTGAGCGAACGATGGTGAGAATAAGGAGTCTGTACGTTGCATTATGCAGTTACACTTATCAATAGTGAGTGTGTTAGTGAGCGAACGATGGTTAGAATAAGGAGTCTGTACGTTGCATTATGCAGTTACACTTATCAATAGTGAGTGTGTTAGTGAGCGAACGATGGTGAGAATAAGGAGTCTGTACGTTGCATTATGCAGTTACACTTATCAATAGTGAGTGTGTTAGTGAGCGAACGATGGTTAGAATAAGGAGTCTGTACGTTGCATTATGCAGTTACACTTATCAATAGTGAGTGTGTTAGTGAGCGAACGATGGTGAGAATAAGGAGTCTGTACGTTGCATTATGCAGTTACACTTATCAATAGTGAGTGTGTTAGTGAGCGAACGATGGTTAGAATAAGGAGTCTGTACGTTGCATTATGCAGTTACACTTATCAATAGTGAGTGTGTTAGTGAGCGAACGATGGTGAGAATAAGGAGTCTGTACGTTGCATTATGCAGTTACACTTATCAATAGTGAGTGTGTTAGTGAGCGAACGATGGTTAGAATAAGGAGTCTGTACGTTGCATTATGCAGTTACACTTATCAATAGTGAGTGTGTTAGTGAGCGAACGATGGTGAGAATAAGGAGTCTGTACGTTGCATTATGCAGTTACACTTATCAATAGTGAGTGTGTTAGTGAGCGAACGATGGTTAGAATAAGGAGTCTGTACGTTGCATTATGCAGTTACACTTATCAATAGTGAGTGTGTTAGTGAGCGAACGATGGTGAGAATAAGGAGTCTGTACGTTGCATTATGCAGTTACATTTATCAATAGTGAGTCTGTTAGTGAGCGAACGATGGTTAGAATAAGGAGTCTGTACGTTGCATTATGCAGTTACACTTATCAATAGTGAGTGTGTTAGTGAGCGAACGATGGTTAGAATAAGGAGTCTGTACGTTGCATTATGCAGTTACACTTATCAATAGTGATTGGTTAGTGAGCGAACGATGGTGAGGATAAGGGACATTGGGGTTTAACACCGTTTTAAACATTATTTCAGTTTAATCAGGACGTGTCAGCTTAATGAGGAGGAAAACGAAAAGTGATGCAAGTTTTAGACTTGTATCACTTTGATGAAACACACGAGTATATTACAAATATGTAAAAGAAATAGATACAGCAAGTCTTTAACTAACGTTTTACTGGCATCGTAACACAAACACATGTTTGGATGTATATGTTTTTAAATAACAAAAAAGGGATTTTGTTCATACAAAATGTTATAAAATTGTAAATGTTAATACATTTACACGGGAGTTTGAGACCTTTCTACTTTACTTCATCGGCAGCAGATAAAAGAAAGAAGTGATATTCATCTCTTCCTCCCGTTTTGCACATTGGCAACAATCTTAATGGCATCTCAATGGCGAGCCAGCTCTGCATGCTCCAAGAAGCAGATCTGACCGGAATCTAATGAGCACCTTGTGTGCTGTTGTTGATTTCTTTAGTTCTAAAAGAGTTTCTAATTTCTTCAAACACAATGGACCTTGAACAATTGCTTAATGTTTGAATTTCATTTAAAAAAACACTCTTTGTGAGAATGTGTGCGTGTGGTGTACGATTGTGTATTATTAATATCAATTTGGGTACAACAAGCACTGACACACGTACAATTTATTGAAAGAGGTCGTTATGACTTAAAGCAAACGTGAGGAACACTCTTAAATATGGAATGAAATTTACAACTGCTGCTTGTGCTACTACTGCTACTTCTGTTGCTGCTATTACTACTACTACTACTACTACTGCTGCTGTTGTTACTACTATTACTACTGATGCTGCTGCTATTACTACTACTACTACTACTGCTGCTGCTGCTACTACTATTACTACTGATGCTACTACTGATGCTGCTATTGCTCCTACTGCTGATATGGCTACTATACGAATACTGGTCCAGACATGACTATTTACAGTCTCCCGTCTTACAGCTAGACAACTGCCGAGTACGGCGTTAACAAAATAGGTGATATTGTAAAATAACATAATTACAGAAATACAAAGAGGATACGAAAAAGGAGGGACTAGGTGTAACATGACTATCAACAGAACATGTTTGTGGTGTATTGTAAGGATGCAACCAGCGGTGACCCTACCATGCACAATACGCAGTCATAGTGATCCCGCCCCATATATTTACAGATCCACCCCAAACATGTACATGGCCTTTCGTGATGTTGAATAATTGCGTAATTCTTAATTTTTTTGAGTGGTTGTTGTCAGCGCGATGCTAAACAATGCATATGGAATCACGTTAACGCACATGTTTTTATACCCATTCTTGGTAGTGAAATGCAGGGGCTTGCATAAAAGTCAACTTTTGCATGGAATGCATGCTTTTCTGTAGCAGTTGCGTTTTTGTGACTTGATTCCATACATGTACTACAATATTGAAAACCAAACTTTACTTGTTTGAAAAATACACTCAAATATTGGTGTCACAGGAACTTTTTTCTTTTGGTATATAGGTAGATATAATACTAATCTATAGATGTAAACACATTTGATGATACATCTGTGTGTTTAAAGTTGATTTTGACAGCCCGGGCCACGTTGGACCCAACACAAGCCAAACACTTCTAATAGAGACTATGTTGTGAATGTAGAGGGAAAATGGCTTCACATTGAGCACCTTGTTTTCTTGAAATACCGCGATCTGGGACACTATAAAGTGGTATATAGGTAGATATTAGACTAGTATATAGATGTCAAAATCAACTTAAACCTTACAGATGTAACCTCAAATGGAAACGCTTAGTTTAGAAAGTAATTTGAAATCTAGACATAATCTTTTTGTGAATATCGTTTCGCAAGTGGAATCCCTCTGTAATCTATGAATGTCTGTGTTTTTTGTACATTCACCTGTCTAACCTTTGACACGGATAAGAACTAGTTTAAAACTACAAGCACCTGCTGGACTATTTACGACAATCTTCGTCGAGCAGTACGTGCAAGTCACGATCTAAGTCTTAGTGACCTCAGTTATACTATGACCTCTGGCACCGCTCACGTGAGTTGTCCTTATCACTGGACAGATGTTCAACTCACCGTCAGTGACCTTCTGTAAAAAATATCACGATGTGCAGTTATTCTAAACCTCAAAATTAGAAAATAAACGTACACTGCTCGTACATGAGGTTTCCTGGCGATTTAACGGCGCTAAATTGAATTGCAACCAAACGTGCTGCGTCACGTATCGTATTAACCGCAACTCTCCATGTTGTAACCTATAATCGTAATGTTATTTCAAAGCGCCTACAGAAAATGATTAACAGTACGTTTTAAGTCGTCAAATGAGATGTTTCAATCAGGTTTGGTTATTGTGAGTGAGTGAGTGAGTATGGTTTTACGCCGCTTTTAGCAATATTCCAGCAATATCACGGCTTCACACATTGTACCAATGTCAGGAATCGAACCCGGATTTTCGGCGTGACGAGCGAACGCTTTAACCACTAGGCTACCCTACCGCCCCTTGGTTATTGTGATTTGAAACCTGTGACTGACCAATCACAATCGAATATTTTACAAATTCCTGGAAAAAACAGGGATTAATTGCGTTTTATAAACTTTGCTTTTATTAACAACAAATGTTATGCAGACTGATATTCTATATTTGTTGCTTTCTACAAGTGCGTTGCTCACCTTCAGATCATGACATCGTCTTCACGTACAACTTCAACCACTCGACAACAACACAATTAAAATGAAATTGCCTTTATTAACCAGTCATATCACGGCGTGTCAGCTTAATGTGGGAGGAAAGCCCGAAGGGATGCAAGTCTTAGTCGTTTACCACTTCGGTGAAACCCACGAGCACGGGTATGGTGCTGACAAACCTAGAAACATAATCGGGGCGAACCGGGATTCGAACCCACGACCATAGGTTTCTGGCGTGTCCAAGGGACACAACTCTGCACAGCGAATCGCGGCGCCTTAGACGACTGGGCCACCCGTGCGCCCGATACAATTAAAGAGAATAGTGGGATCCTGAAGACGGAGAAGACGAAATGTATTCCCAGGGCATTCAGTGTTGTACGTGCTCAGTACCATATACCCCCGTGTTTGCCTTGCCTGTGCATGTGTTTGTGACGGGTGCCACCGGTAGGGCAGGATATGCTCAACTTTTCGCGACCACCTGGTATCATCACTATTAGATAGGAATTCATAAATAACTGCTCACGGTATAGTCGGAATCGTACAATCGACTCTGTTTTTGATTTCTTATGAATATGGAAAGGGGTTTGTCGCTTTTATCCAAACAATGCTAAAAACAAAGCAGAAATACTACAATCAGTGATTTAGTTTTACATTGACTTGATCTATTTAAAGAATATAGACACAGATAACCTACTTAAATTATTGTTGATCAAATACATGACATGAAGCCATATATAGCTCACGTGACATTTTAGGAATGTTTGCGACACTAGATGTCAAATTGTGTAACAATACGATCCAAAAGGTCATAAATATACATGCACAACACGTAACTTTTGCAGTCGAAATACAAATAAAATGCTTAAATACACGTCGATGATAATCCAGCTATACGACAGCGGTCTGTAAATAAACGAGTCTGGACCAGACAATCCAGTGATTGACCTGACCACCTGATCCCGTAAGTCGCCTCTTACGACAAGCATAGTCGCCTTTTACGGCAAGAATGGGTTGCTGAAGACCTATTCTACCCTGGATCTTCACGGGTGCCCAGCTTGGAGAAAACGCTGTATAGAACACTCAGTCCAGGCAAGCCTCGGATTATAGAAACTCATTTTATACTAAGAAACCCTATGGGGTTTCCAGGTTAGAATTGGTCCCCAGTAACTTCGTATGCTGGGCGATGGAGGAGACTAAATGGTTCGTTATCATAATCGACAGGGTTGATCGTTGCTAATGTCGATCACTGGATTGTTCGGTCCTGACTCGATCATTTACAGACCTTCAAATAGCTTGGGTATTGATGAGTGCGGCATAAAGCACGATCAAACAAAAATCCAAGTAAATTTCAGATCTGAATTGATCAATAAACCAAATTATATATTTAAAAAACCTTAGCCTTAACTCTTAGACTGCTGAATTAAATTTGAATGCACCAAGTGTTGAGTAAACTCTTCGTAATGAAACAATCAAAGACATACCTCCATGAAGCTGAATTTCAATTATGAATGAGTGGGTTGGGTTTTTGCGTGGCTTTGATAAATTTTCCACAAATATCACTGCATGGGACACCAGAAATGGGCTTCATGCCTTGTACCCATGTGGAGAATCGAACCAGGGTCTTCTTACGAGCCAATGCTTTAACCACTAGACCACCAAGCCACCCCTTAAATTATTAGGTGAAGTGGAATTGGGTTTAACGTCGCGTCCAAGATTATTGCGCTTATATAGCGACGTGCATGTACGTGTATGTGTGTGTGTGGCTGCTTGTACTAGTCCGGACTGATGCCGATTTATAGTGCTAGCACACTGAGATACTATGCCGCAGTTTAACATGGATACCCCACTCAGACACAGTAAACTAACTCCGAGCCGACCAGTCCTTGTTTTAGCCCCTTAATGCCGAGCGCCAGACAGGGTAACAACAAGTACCATCTTTTAACGTCTTTTGGTATGACGTGGCCGGGATCGAACCCCGGACCTTCCGCTCGCCGGGCGGACGCTCTACCACAAGACCACGGAGGCGGTCGCTTTAATTATGAAGGAACTACTTCTCAACTGGAGCAGGAGACCCTGCTGTGATGGTCTTGGCAATGTGTTTGTAACTTGTCTAACCCTGCCCCACTCAGCAATAATCCATAATCCAGCTGTGACTGGGGCCTGTTATAATCCTGTCTGGGCGATACAATCCAGTGGTCGATATTGTGAGCAGCGATCCACTCCACCTGGATACACACAATCAACCATGACAGGGAGACTGGACACACGATCCATTTGATGTTGGTGAGGTGAGGTGAAGTGGGGTTAACTTCGCATTCAAGATTATTGCACTTACATAGGGACATGAGCATGGATGTACCATTTTAACATCCATACACACTAAGACACAGTATACCAACGCCAAGCCAACCGGTCCATATTTTTATCCCCTTAATGCCAAGCTCCAGGCAGGGTTACAACAAGTAACATCTTTTAAAGTCTTTTGGCACAATGCACCTAGGGAAGGAACCATCGACCTTCCGTCTCCCTGGTCTTATTCAAGGGAGGCAGTCTTGGGATTGTAATGTGTTGTATGATTACTGTATGTAGACCTGAGAAAAGCGCCAGTCACAGTCAGGTGAATGTTGGCAGCAAAGAGAAGCAGGATGTGTGACTGAGCAGAACAAGCTGGACTCTTGAGGGTGAGGGTGGGCATGTGTTGGACCCCTCTGAATCGGTTATAAAATATGTGGTGTGTCTTAGGCAAGTGAATTTATTCGAAGGTACCTCTGTTCATGGTTGCCAGGGATGATGCTAAACAGCCTGTATGGATTGGACACACTCCTAAGGGAGCTGAGAACACATGGAAAACACTTGGAATGCACACTGATCTGTTGACCAGGGCCCACTTGCACAAAGCGATCTCAGCACTAAGATAATCTTAACTCCCATACTTTACATAGGCTTACAATAGTCTTAGCGCTAAGATCGTTTTGTGCATGTGGGCCCAGGGTCTAATGGGTTGGTTTTATCCCACTTTCATATATGTAGAAATATAAGCGATAAAACCCTTTTATAATCATAAGAAATCGCTGCTCAAAGTGAGTCCATTGATGATACGAGGTGGTTGCGAAAAGATAAGCGTATCCTGCAACCACTGGAAGCAATGTCCCGGCAAGGGGCCACCCAGGGATCACCGATACATAACAACAAGGTAACATTTGTGTCTCACTTTAATACGACAGACAGACATACAGTGCTTACAAGGATAGATGAGTGAGGCAAAAACAGTTCATACAAAAAGTCCTAGACAAGTTCAGAAGCTGTGATGGATGATGAGAGTAACAATCTGAACATACTTGTCAACCGTGCTACAGCCAGAGGCCCCTATCAACACCTACAGATGAGATAAGGATATAGTTTTTACCTCAACACTGACAACCTTCTGACCCTTCTTGCTGGACCCAGCATGAGAGTATGTTAGGATATGGTTCCTAAACCTTCTTGCTGGGCTCAGTGTCTGTGTGTTGGGATACCATGGCGCCTAGAATTGTCTCCTCAGAGGATAAGAATTGGTCTTTTTGAGTGAACTACAAGGCTACTCTGTCCATCTGGCATTGAAACAATTGGTACAAATCATTATTAAAATACTTCCTATGCAACTGTTAATCTGAAGGTAGGTATAACTAATTTAGTCTACTCGAGTTGATACTGAGCATGACAGTAAATAATATGACATATTGGTACAGCATTTGCAACACCATCTACTACAGTAACCTAAATGTTGTTGAGCATCAGTGAGTTGGGTGTCACACCTCTCGTTAGTGATAATTTCTGCAATTAGATGCCAGATATGGGCTTCACATATAGAACCCTTGAAGAAATCGAAAGTGGTCGTCACTACTCCTCTACTCCCAGAGTAAATAGTTTCTTTACAAAAAGTATTTTAAAAATTGAAACAAAACACAAATATCTAAGGGTTGACAAGCATGCAAGATGAACTGTACAGTTATTGTTTTTCAACATCATCAAGCAACACCTTTGTGATAGACGAAACACTGACACTATATATTGTATCAAAAACACTTTCTATAAGATTATGTATAGAACATTAATGTAAACTTACAATAAGAACCATTTGTCTAAAAATTTGTTAACCTATGCTTTTACGCGTAATGTTCTTTGATTGTCAGACAAACTGTTGTTTACAAATAAGCCACACTATATAAAATACTGTTTCTTATTTGGCAAGATTCCAAGGTTGGCTACTTTGAGATATCTCTACTTTTACAAGAATGGTATGCTGCCTCAATTTTGTACAGAACAATTTCAAACAAAATAGAAAAATAGCACTCTTGAGAAACTGTGATTTTAGATGATTTCAAGAACTGACAGTATTGCCCGGGAAATGTTCTCATGGAAATGTCTCAAAGTAACCAGATATTTGGGGAAATATTTCTCTTCCATGGCAGTGTGCTGCTAACATGTTGCATAATTGTCCTCAACACAATATTCAAAGAATGTTCACCGTGTTAGTACGGTTATGGTGAAGGTGTCACATTTTGGTTCAATACTTGTTCCCATGTCAAATTGTCCATTTTCAAATTGCATGATGAGACATCAATACACACTGCTACAACTTCTGCTGATACACACTAGCGTGCTGGTCTGAGAAAGCCTGCATACATTTGTACACATTTGCACTAAAAGATCCTCACTACCAACCCATATGTACACATCGAGATCAAATATAGAAAGAAACTCAATCTATAATTATGTTCCTTGTACCATTCAAACCAATTGCTCACTCGAGGAAATCCTCATCTTTCAATTCCTGGTTTGAGTAAAATTTATGCAATAATTTATTATTTTTTAATCATCTCGTTCAGAAAATACATGTAAAGATTCAGTTGTCCTGTAAATTCATTAAAAATCACATAGACTTGCCATATTGAAAGTTCAATGGTCGGTAAGGAATAGACTTTCAGAACTCAAAGTTACCAAACATTGTTTTTCAAGCCTCATCTTTCAGAATTATAGCTTAAAGGCTTAATGAACTGATACTGACTCACCAACATGTATAGAACATCTTACCAGACATTTCATTGAAACATCACCTAGGTTCTAACATCCTTACTTGGGCCATTACAGAATAGTTAGTTGGTCCTTGATCGAATGCTCATGTGGGTAGAGTAAGCTCCCTTTGTTTAACAAATGGCGGCCCCCCATCTCAAGGTATGCAACATAAGACTTGGTCAATCTGAACTACCCTGAAAAGACCCAGGTTATGAATATACACAGTTAGTACAGGAGCACTGAATATACACTTTCATACATAACAATCCATACATATATGAACGTTACTTACAAAAATTGAAATGGATAACTTCTCTAGGCATCCTATCCCACAAAAAGCTGGTTTTGCATCAAGCTGTGTTGAAATTCAATTTGAAACATAAAAACCCACTTAAAAATATCTGCCACCATACACAACCTCCTCCCATTCATATAGATTTTGTGAATTCTGATCGGAAGGCCAGCTAATTAACGGGAAACAGAAAACTGGTAAAGAAAACCCAAATTCAACAAACTGGCTTTAGTGCATAGTTAAAAGGTTGCAGTAACGACTAGAATAAGCTTATATGAAATGCGCTGTAGAAAAGCTCTGCAGCCCATTAAAGACATGTTTAGTACATAGAAACGCTGGTTCTATCATGTGGTTCTTTAACTCATTAACAATATGCTTAAACACCTCAATGAAATGAGTGTCCCAAAACATTGATTGCCCCTTCAACCAAGATGAAAGTATACTGGCTTGATAATGGAAACATGATGATGTAGGATGACCTGTGATTGTGAGAAAGGTCCCGTATCCATAGTAACCATGACTGATGCACAAACAAATACCTTTATATGTATACAAACAAGTGATTGGTGGTGATAATTAAAGCTGTCACTCCGAATCTCGTCTCCTAAAACAATCAAACTTGTTCATCTTTCCCCAACATCTCCAAAATAAGTTTGCAACTTAATATATACAACAAATCAACAAAATAGTGATAAAAGTCTTTTTGGAACAGATTTAATAATTCTTGCTTACAGACGTCAATTTGAACATTTTTGAACAAGTTTGATAGTTGCCATGGTATTAAAAATACACACATAGACTACTGTCTGATGAAATATGGCATGTTTATTTTATTCCACAAACCCTTTTTTTGCACCAAGCAATTTATTATGCATAATGAGTGCTGGCAGGTGAAATCTGCTGTATAAAATGTCTTAAAGCTACAAATTCAAAAGATAAAGCATGCAATAATAATCTCACAAATTGACAATATATAAAATTGCAGAAATGTGTTGTATAAGGCTGGTAAAGCATAAGTCCAGGCTAAACCATTGAGCAGCCTGCTTCGTATTGACTAGATCCCATGACCAACACACTAAGCACTGTCAGTAATGAGCAGTGTCGATTATTAACAATAGAAACAAAACAACCAATAAAGCAAACTTATCAAAACATTGTTGAGCATTGAAATTTGATTGTGAGCTAGCAAACTTATGAACAGGCTACAAATGAACTAAACTATGAACACTTTTGAAAACAAGACAAAATGCAAATATATATTAACAAAATGAAATATCCTAGTGATCATTCATAAGAGAGTAACCCTTTTCAGCATGCCTGTGCCAATGAATACCTGGTAAATAGCTTCAATCATACAAGATTTACAAATAGTCATACAATAGTGAAGTTTATTGGTAAAAAATTATTTAAAATAGAAAACTGGCAATGCCACATGTTATCATGAAAATAAATCCAATTAACTGTACTTTTGTTCCCATTATGGTGATGTAGTGCATCAAGCACTGATAAACAGTAGTTGGTCCTTGTTAATGTTGCAAATACCCATTACATACAATGCAAGATATGATCTCTTTCATGGCATGATACAGCAGACCTATCTACTTTCATGGCATGATACAGCAGACCTATCTAGTCAACTGCTTGACTAGTACTGTAAGAGTTATCTCCCTTACGCCTTGGTATCTTAATGTCTGCCTGCACCTAAGCATTGTCGATAGAAAATTGTATTTTATATGGATAGTTGACAGGCTCCTAATCAAAGAGAGTTGAAGACTTCAATCATGGGATTTTCTGTGTTTCACAGCTGTTCCCGTTCGTCATTGTCTTGTCCAGATTGTAACAAATCTTGCATAGAAGAGCATCACCTCTTGATCTGAACACAGTTTTCACGCACAGAAAAATAATTACACAATATTTACACGATCTAAAACAATACATAAACCTTTTGAATTCTGAATCATTGGCCTTGTTTAAATATCAATGACAAGAACGTCATGAGAACATTGTTGCTATTTTGGACTAGCATACAATATAATATCAGTAGTTTTTGGTGTAATATCACTAGAAATTCCCACAGAAAAAAATAATCAAATATTTTGTAAAAAGAAAATCATTTGAAGACTGTGAACACTGATAGTATTTCAAAGTAGCATTGAAATATATTGAGACTTGTTTATAGGATGATAGCATGTTAAACATCATTGACGTAACTTCTGAAAAACCCTTCACAGGATTTGAAAGTCATGATCTACTGGTTAAAGAAGGACAATGCACCATAGCCTGGTGTCCACTTCCTGTCAAAGTCTGATGTAGCATGTCTGTTTCTTAGGGTGACTATTGAATGTTAGCTCCATATCAAACTTGAGTTAGCAGACAAAGTGGTGTTCAAATGACGTGGAATAAACTGGCTAATATGTTCAGCCAGCTGAGTCCCCCTTTACCAGTGATCATAGCAATGTTGTGTTTTACAAATCAGTCCCAATGTATCCCTATTGACCACCAAATGACTACAGCACCAACATATGTACCAAGTTTCATGTACAGTAACAACAGTACTAGAATATACACGCGGCGGTGGCGGCGGCCATTGTCGCTCCATCGTCTAGCTGGCGGCTGTCACAACCAGCAGATTGTTTTCTTGGCCCTCAGCGTCTGCCTTGGTTGGCTGAAACAGATAATTCAAATATAAGAGTCAGTTTACAATGTACCAATGGCATGAAGATTTCACAAAGTCTCCATAGAAGGTTGAGTCTGCAGATGTGGTGACCTATGAGAGAACCTTGACTGCCCAATCTATATGGAAGATGGGTTCTTGAGCAAATCAGATGTTCACTTTCTAAAACGTTTCTGCTGCATTTGTTACTGATCATATCGATTACTTTCTATGGAGGGGTGACAGATCTTCACACAGAGTGGCTTCTCAGTGTATATGATTGGAGTTTAATGATACATCAAAGGGAACATACCCAGTCAGTGAAAACCTTAGACACATAACTCTGCAGCAGTTGGGCTTAAGGCCATATCAAACAGGATCTAAGTTAAATCAGGACACGTAGCTTAGGAGACGAATTTAATTCAAATTGACAGCATCACACCACTTTGATGAAACAAACATGTGTATGATGCTGACATGCAAGGAGGTGAGGTGAAATTTGGTTTAGCGTCGCGTCCAAGATTATTGCACTTATATAGCGACGTGCATGCACTCTGGCATAACCAATTAACACGGGTATGGCGATGACAAACATCACATTTTTAGGGAGAATCTGAAAGTCATATCTATGAGCAGCAGATTCTGGCACACTAAGGGAAGCAACTCTGCTTACCAAGTTCTTGTTGATCTGCCACTGGTCATCCACCAGGAACTTGTACAAATACTCTCCTGTCGGCAGGTCCAGTGAGCCTATGAACAAGTCGTCCCTGAAAGGAGAGGTCGTTTTGACATTAACTTCTAAATTCATCCCCAAATATTTTCTGGTTTGTCATTACCTACTTACAAATAATGTATAAAACAGTCTCTGTAAGAAGTTGGAGGCTACACACTTTCCATGTAACATGTTTTATTTTGGATTAAACTTTCTCAGTAAATTACAAATTCTTGTACTTTTGGGGGACTCGAACCCACACTTCTCAGAATAAGGCACTCAGCTGCCAGCACTAAAAAGTCAGCGACCTGACCCACTCAGCCACACTTTCACATAGCTATGCATCTGTCAGGGTACGATGACACGTCACCGAGTCTGACCACCCGGGCCACTTAGTCACCTCTTACGGTAAGCATGTTACTGTGTTACTGGCGACCGATCTAACCTGGAATCCCCACAGGTGCATGTGCACTCAGTTTTGTAACATTATGAAATGAAGGCAAGTGCAGGTCTTCAACAAAATCAAGTTTCAATAATAACCCATCTACCCCGATCAGAAATTGCTTGTCTGGTGTTGGCAAATCAACATATTTCTCAGGGAAATAGTATGGTATAATGGTGTTTTTAGCTACATACCAGCAATATCACAGCTGGGGACACCAGATACAGGCTTCACACATTGTACCCATGTGAGGAATGGAACCCGGGCCTTAGGCGTGATGAGCAAACACTTTAACCACTCGTCTACCCCCACCACTCCCAGGACTCTTAGGGGGAAGGGTAGACAGGCTTGTATTTGCAAGTATGAATTTGGACCACAGTCAGCAATGTTCCAGCAATGGTAGACAACCGAACACATGGATTGTTTGACACCCTGAACCGAGGTGTGGACGCCTGGTCTGCCGTGTGATGTAGGAACCACAAGGCTACCTACAGGACATGGCAGTGTTTGGTGTTTTCATGCACAAAACTCCACTGAAATGGGATCTCACCGTTTCTCAAGAGCAACCTGTTCCTTCCAGTCATTGAAGCTTCCAGACACCAAGACCGAGCTTCCGCCATTCTCCCACTTGAACTCTATCGCCACCTTCAAGCCATTGTCCTGGATTATAATACACCCTGTCAGTCTTTGTACACATCTTCAACATGAACCACCAGTCTAGCCATATTCAACGCTTGGGAATTAATCTTTAATGCTTACATATGTTTAAGAGAGATTATGCGGCTCGATATTTCTGAATAATACTAAGAGTGGCTGTGCTCCATTTTCAGTCCACCTCTAGACAAATATTTATTATTTCGTGTGTCTAGTGCCATGTGTGAATCTGTGACATTATCTCTAGGTTATTTAAGTGATCATTCACTGCCAGATTGATGCACACCACCAAAGTACAGTTAGCAGATAGCCAAAGTTATTTGAATGACTTGCTAGAACTGCCAAGTTTACATAGTCCCCTTTTATTCTGATTATTACCATATTCCAAACATAATTTACAAATTATCCCTGATTTTATCCCTATGTCAACTCACAGCACTTGGTGCCGATGTCTCTCCACTCTGTCCCTCGGTTTTCTCGCTGTCCGCGGCGGCTCCAGGCTCTGCTGGTGTTTCTGACGCTGCTGCCGATGTGTCCACTGCAGCAGGGGCCTCAGGAGCAGCAGGCTCCTCCACTGGGGGCGGCGGTGCTGGGGTCTCCTCCGCTGGTGGGGGAGGTGGGGGTAGGGCATCCTCTGCTGGGGGCTCCGGGGCCGGTTCTGGTGCCGGTTCTGGAGCGGGTTCTGGAGCCGCTGGTTCTGGTGCAGGTTCTGGAGTTGCTGGTTCTGGTGCTGGGGGCTCTGGCTCAGCTGGCTTTTCAACAGGGGGATCTGGAGGCGGCTCGGGTAAGCTCTCCGCTGCTGGTTTTTCAGGCTCAGCTGCAGGTGGCGGTGATGATTCTACAACTGGGGCAGTTTCTGCTTTGGATTCCTCCTGAACTATTGCAGGAGGCTCTTCGGATTTGGGCTCTTCGGATTTGGGCTCTTCCTTTGGTGCCTCCGGTTCACTTGGAGCTGGTGCTGCCTCTGTTTTGGTTTCTGTGGCTGCCGTATCGTTTGGCTGTTCAGCTTTTACTTCATTATTTGCCGTTGTCCCTCCATCCGCCTGAAACCAAGACAGAGTATATGTCAGGTGCTGCTAACAGTGTCACTTTATGGAAGAAAGTCGGTATGTACAACAACATTATTCTTGTGTAACAACTACCGAAGCATATAAGTTACTGCACCTATGTATAACAACCACCTCCTTAATACAACTTACTGCAACCCTCTGTATAACACACACACTGACACAGATAGCACACTTACTGTTCCCCCTCCATCCCCTTCAGCTGCTGTGTCTGTTTTTGTGGCGCCATCTTCTGTTGGCTGCGTAGCTGTTTCATCACTAGCTGGTTTGTCTTCTGCCTTCTGATTGGTCTCCTCTGTTGCTTCTTCCTTCTTGTCCTTGTCCTTCTTCTTCTGTCTGCTGCTCTTGTTACCCATGATGCTCTACTGTCTTATATCTGAAACAACGAGGACATTTTACTGACATGTAAAGAGCATCTTCAGGTCTCAGGACACCAGGACCAGACAAACCAGTGATTGATATAATGATCAATGTCCCTTAGCACTGGGGCACAATGGCACATACACAATCGACCGAGTCTGACAACCTGATACCATCACTAGTTTGCCTGGTCCAGGCTCAATTATTTACAGGACAATGGTTGATAATTGTTGACTGCAGAGTTAAACAAGAACTCTTTCATACAGTTCACCAAAACTGAAGATTTGCGTGAAGAAATTGTATGAAGTGTTCATAAAATACTCCAACAGGCCCTATAAGGACAGTCCAGGTTGCCAAACTCCCTTATACCTTGCTGCAAGCATGTAATTAAATTTCAAAATCCAATAAAAAGATATGGTATGAAAAGGGCCATTTTGTACCAACAGGATCTACATAATTTAAGAAAAGAGCAAAACTTGAAAATTAGACTGGTTTTGTCTTATAATACCAAAAATGTACAGGTAGAGAGAGAAATGTGTTGATAAAAAGCTGATTTTAAGGTTGTCAGAAAGCATTTTCCTAATATTGGAACTTGAGCTAGTCTTCGACCTAGACTGATTGATCAGATGCTTGTGCAGACAATACTAACGGTCAGATTTTATCCTGACACTTTTTCACTCATTTTCATCATACTTATGTACATGATCTTGGCAGAAGTCCAACACAGACATGTGACAGAGAGAAAAATGATATACTTAATAAGGCATAAACGTTCTACTATTCAGGGTGTATAATATCAAGCAGCTAGGGTAGCGTTACGGACTCAATCAGAATTAATGTTTTTTCATTTCCATCTCGACTTTGCTCAGCTGTGGCTTGAACCACTGAGTCGGTGTGTGAATCATACCATCGGTATTGTCCTACTTATTACTCTGGTTTAATAAAATAAACTTGTCAATTCAATGTAATTATTTGAATAGGAAACCCCTGATCTCAACGATCCCATATATCAGTGTATAATCAAACCAGTGGTTGATAGCCTGAGCATCAGAATATGATACAATAGGTGGTCACATACTGTAACCACCACATCCTAACACTAGCTGGCAAAAGTTTAAATATACTATTCAAAACAAGTTAAGAACACAGAATTGTTTCATCTGACTATAGTTACATAAAACGGGTGTTCCTTAACTCCTTCTCAGTAGGATGCTATCACAACACCACCCTAGTTTTCCTAGAAGTGCTTGAACCATGTAGATAAGTCTGTACTCAGTGAATTGGCCACATCGAAATGAAATGATCCAATGTTTACAACGCGTATCCTGACTTAATGAGCAGCAATTAAGGACAAAACAGACCATAGTTGTCTATAGATCTGTGTATGAAACAGGCAATCATCCCTGAACATTGACAGACCAAGGTGCCACCACGCCCAGTACTTTCCCCACACATCCTTATAACAATAATGACTGGATATATCAATACATAATTATAAACCATGTTTTGGAAGTATGGTACACCACCCCAGTACCACCGAGCCTCGTACGGTACACCACCCCAGTACCACCGAGCCTCGTACGGTACACCACCCCAGTTCCACCGAGCCTCGTACGGTACACCACCCCAGTACGACCAAGCCTCGTACCGTACACCACCCCAGTACTACCGAGCCTCGTACGGTACACCACCCCAGTACCACCGAGCCTCGTACGGTACACCACCCCAGTACCACCGAGCCTCGTACGGTACACCACCCCAGTACCACCGAGCCTCGTACGGTACACCACCCCAGTACCACCGAGCCTTGTACGGTACACCACCCCAGTACCACCGAGCCTCGTACGGTACACCACCCCAGTACCACCGAGCCTCGTACGGTACACCACCCCAGTACCACCGAGCCTCGTACGGTACACCACCCCAGTTCCACCGAGCCTCATACCGTACACCACCCCAGTACCATGGAGCCTCGTACGGTACACCACCCCAGTTCCACCGAGCCTCATACCGTACACCACCCCAGTACCATTGAGCCTCGTACTGTACACAACCCCAGTACCAATTCTCTACCTGGATCTCCACAGGTGTTGACTAAAAACATGCAAGCTGTGGAGTTGTCAAACCAAGAATCATAATCAAGACAAATCTGGAGTTCTGAAGGATGCACCAATATACGGAATCATGCTGCCTAAGGCCAAAAGTCCACCCCCACACCACACCACACCACTTCAGTAGTATGTAAAACCACACTTCCACAATAGTTTACACCTCCGTTGTGGACTGAGGTTTTCAATATAGCGTAAAGAGTGAAGGAGAGTCATCTTGAGAAGGATACTCTACAAAGAATGGACCTAAATTGTACCACAGAGACTCAAACCTTAATCAGGGAGAAGTCAACAATCTGTGGTCAAGAATATATTCTTGACATAAACAAGATCAAATAAAAATGAATATTATTCCAGGATACTGTCCACAAATAGCACTACCAACATCATATGTCTATGCACAAGTTACAATAGTATCAGCCCTAAGAATGTGCACTATCAGGGCCATATGCACAAATCAATCTTAGTTCCATGTCTCTCAGCAGCCTCTGTTGAAGTATGGGCATCACACAGTTGCAGCACTAAGAACACTTTGTGGAATGGGGCCTAGGATGATAGGTGTCCCAGAGGTACTGGAGCAGTATGTCAACCTCGGACTGTCACATTCCGTTGCAAGATGATAACGCTGCCTCAGAAAGTTGGGATTCACTGCTTAAATAACTGCAAACAACAGCCAGAGTTTTTATATTCAGTGAAGGTCCTTGTTAAACAGTAGCAATAACACCTCTCTAAGATGTTCCTGAAAAGGGCACCTGTATACATTTCACATGTGCAACACAGAGACTAACGAGTCCACAGAGGAATGCTGGGTAATGAGACAATCTCGTTAAAATGTTCGTCACCTGCCCCCAGCATCTGGGAATTGACAGCTCGTGTAATGGCTCTATTCCTGGGACTGGAGCCAAGATTCTGCTATCAATATAAGGAGAAATGACTGCTGAGGATTTAGAATACCAAACCCAGATATGTTGGAGGAGACAATTTGTAACTCTGATTTGAAGAACATGCTATGGGTTAGCGATGGGACGAGTCCAAATTTACTACCCGGGTACGGGCCCCCCTATTACCCGACCCTACCCGGCTACCCACTGTAGGCCTCAGGAGATGTCTCAAAATGGCTGATTGGAACATTTTTACCATAGCCTTGGCAAAACGTATTTAGATACATGTATTAAACAATCTGGTCATGCATACACTGAAGTTGACTTAAGTTATATCTTTATTCAACCATATGAAAAATCAGAAGGAATGGGTGCATAGTCAGAAAGAAAAGCGAACATTAGTGACTTGTAGTGTAACCATAGAGTTCCAGATAATTTTAGTCATTAGAAAATATATCATGTGACTAACCACGGGTCTGGGTAGTCCTGTGGGTACCCAGGTCCTACTCAGTACCCATCCGACCTGGGTACCAGAGTTACCCGTCCCAGCCCTAGTATGGGTGGAAGTAATGTTGACAAGTAAAGCCTCAGTAATGTCTATTCTTACCTATAGAGAAACACTGCTACTGTCAAACATAACATTGAATATAGATAAGGAAATTTAAAATACCCCAAAACCTACTTCATATTCCAACACAGAAACATTAAAGTTATTTTCATGTCATTTGAGAGGGTTAATAAGTGTGCAATTTTTTCCTTTGAAACAAATTCTAGTTTGTCCATGTAAACAGGTATGTACAAGCAAGAGTAATTAAGTAGGGAATTAGCATACCTTCTGCATGCTAGCGTTAACGTCCTGTTGCAGCATGGAATTCCTAGCTATGCACACAGATACTTTAATTTCGGGGGGAAAAAGAATGCCAATTAAGGTAGAAAAATAAAATTACTGTGTTTCTGATCCCCACCCATGTCATTTTCTGGGCACGGTGACACACAATAAGCTGAGTACCCTGTTTATTGCCAAAAGTAAGATCTTAGTACAAGAATGGGATAATGGGACCCTAATCAGGAAACCTATAAATGTAATTTTGGCAGGAGGAATTTCATTTTCCAGCATGCAACTCATTAGTGAGTGAGTTGGGTTTAAAGCCACTTTTAACAGCATTTCATTTATATCACAGCGTGTCAACTTCAAGTAATGTGGGAGGAAAGCCCGAAGTGATGCAGGTCTCAGACGTTTACCACTTCGGTGAAACCCACGAGCACGGGTATGGTGCTGAGAAACCTAGAAACAAAATCGGGGCGAACCATGCAACACTCATTAAATATCAATGCAATTTTGTAAACAGTTAAAATACAAATTCAAAATAGCTTCATGACTGATAAAAAGTTACATTTCTGTCTGATGTGTGCTCATCAATGTCAAACCCATGCAAACCCCCCAACATTCGTGAAATACTGAACTGACATTCAACATTATCTACGGAAGTATCTACAGAATAAACTACTTTCCTAACAACTCTCCACCAGACACCCACAAGAATTCCACCAATGTCCCCATTGTATACACAAACCAGACAGCTGTGCTGGTCGAAATCATAATTCTTCCACAACATAATTTGCGTGGAATTACAGTAAGCATTCCTAACACAGACCAGAGGATATCTCACAGATAGGAGAATACTTCACCATCACCGCAATCTCCTCGGCCATAAACCGGCCCGCGGACAGGAAAAATACAATTGTATGCCTTCAATGCTTTTCATCAAACTAGAAACTTATCTTTAAGAAGAAACTTTAATCTTTGACAACAAACTTCTCAATCTTGATGGCACACTATCGATAGTTTACAAATCATATAAACACATATAAACAATCCTGGATGTGCGTTTCTGACAATGCAGGTGTTAAGTAAATGTAATACCAGGTAAACAAAGCAGTTTAATAAACATGCCATCAATAGTTTATACTTTGTAAAGCATTATTAATCCCATTGTGATGTACTGGTATGATCATAAACATGACACAAAAACAAGAGGCTGTCATAAATCTGGATGCCATGGCAACAACTTCAAATATATTTAAGATACGTAAGAGGCATCATTACACAGAATCTGCTGCCGAAGCAGCTTAGACACAGAGAGATGCATCACTTACCAGTTTGTCAAAACGACAGAGTGTGAGGAGTCACTTTCGACATCCATACGAGAACAGGAAAAAAATGTAAAAAACTTCACATATACAAACAGATAAACATAGATACATTTACACAGTCTATACAAACTCACAGTTTGAGGAGCCTTTGAAACGCTACTCCTGTCTAAATTCCTCTATGTGCAGAAAACAAACAGAATCTTTGAGCGAAGAGTTGTGTCAACTCAGTCACATCAGACAACACACAAGTTCTTCCTCCAGTACCATACACACTTCCCACAGGTGAGGAAATCAGGGGTCAGTTGGTGCAACGTGCATCGCTGTGTAAACGGTATAATTCAGGACAAGCCCCGGCTCATTGGCTATGATCTCAGGGTTCACTGGTCATCTTGACCCAGTCCTGGCATCTTGCAACGGGTCATCATTTCAGCATGATGCAAATATGGAGGCAATTTCAAATACATATCTATTCCAATCATTTTCAGTAAATTTGGTTGAATAGAATACATATCTATTCCAATCATATTCAGTAAAATTAGGTTGCATAGAATACATATCTGTTCCAACCATTTTCAGTAAAATTAGGTTGAATAGAATACATATCTATTCCAATCATTTTCAGTCAAATTTGGTTTCATAGAATACATATCTATTCCAATCATTTTCAGTCAAATTTGGTTTCATAGAATACATATCTATTCCAATCATTTTCAGTCAAATTTGGTTTCATAGAATACATATCTGTTCCAATCATATTCACTAAAATTCGGTTGAATCGATGTTGATGGAGACAACATTTCGTGATGTAAGTTTTTTCTTGCCTTGACAGGAAACAAAGCTAGCCTGAAGTGTTTGAAGAGAATGGGAAGGTATTTGTTGAAGACGATGCTGAAGAAGTGGTATGGACTTCATTCAAATCCAGAAAGGAAGCTGTGGGGTCACACATTCACTTAGAAATATCTCTTGAGGTCTTGACGAGCACCTGTTTTCAGAATTGCTAGTTGTTTTATGCCACAGTCAGCAATTTTCCAACAATACCAGTGCATTCTGAAAATAACCTGGGCCATGTAAACAAGTGGTTGATATAATGATATACCACCTGATCCAATACAGTCGTGTCTCAGACAAGCAATATAACCCTAGGGACATATTCTAGTCTGTAAAACCACAGGGAACTATAAAAACTGAACAATGAACTCTTATACCGTAAATAAACTGAGAATTTCAATAATAAAACTTGTAAAAGAAAAGGGCCATGCTCAAGGAAATGACATAGTCGATCTTTGATGATCTATATGGCACTTAAATACAGAGATGTGAGAGTTGAGTGAAGGAGATGAGTTCTGCTAGATCAGCGCTTCAGATCTATTGCACAGAATCACCTTAATGTGAACTTTTGCCTCAAAATATGCTGGTCTAACACGTTTACTAACAGACCAAGATCCATAATCAGAGAAAATCACATTTTTGAATTAATGATCAGCATATCCTGGCCTGGCTAAGGGATGCAACTCCGAACATCAAACTGGGCCACCTGTACCCATATTAAATGTCATCATGGCATTAACTTCTCACAACCAAAACCTCTATAAACATTGTTGTGAACAGTATTTCAGTTATATCTAAGTGTATCAACTTGATGTGGGAGGTAAGACCAAAGTGATGCAGGTGTGAAACGTTTACCACTTTGCTGAAACCCAGGGAGAGAGATGATGCTGACTGATGAAGAATCATCACAAGGCAAATCTGGGGCTTGAACTCACGATCATAGGTCGCCGACACTCCAAAGAGACACAACAGTTACTCTGCACAGCGAATTGTGGCACCCAAAGTGACTGGGCCTCCGTGCCCCCAAGGACCTTATGACATGGAACCTGCCCAGTGTATAGCAC